GGGAAGCCAGATTAAACATCATTGAAATAAAGGTGCAATACAAGACAAAAGTGCCCCCACCAAGGACTCATCATGCCCCTTTCCAGGCTTCGTTTGTCATCTTAGAAGGAGGCTTCCTACTCTCTGGAAATCAAGGTGCTTACTGCACTGAATGGCTGCATGTCTTGGCCCCATGTTTCCTACATACCTCCCACCTAACTGCTCCTCTGTGCTGGGGTGCTCATGGCAAACAGGGAGCTGAAATGCACAGCCTTTCAAAGAATGTGATAAAGCCATTCATTGCCCTCTCCTTTTTCCTTCCTGAGATGGTTCTTCCAGGGCCACAGTCAAATCTCTCCCTGTTTTAAAACGGTTTCCTTCTTCTTGTGCAATGCCACACTCGTTGCATGGGAGCAGCCACGCTGGGGACATGCAGGCAGTGCTCTGCACTAGGAGAAACAGAGGGAAAGCAATACTGCTCTTCTCTCTGAGCCCTGTTAAATGCAGAGGCCGCTTGCACAAACAAGAGCTGATGTTTTTTTCCAGCTGAAGATCTAGGCCACCTGAATTGTAAAGTCAATGAACAGTCGATAACATTTTCCATGACCAGGAGACTTACCAGCTTACTCTGGTAAATCAAGTGACTGATGTTTACTCTATGCTTTAATTCTCCATTTTGCCTTACAGCATGCCTTCTCAAGCTCACACACACACTGTTAATTCTAGCCACTCTAAACAGGATGGCTTGCCATTGTGGCTCAGTGGTCAGGATGTCCAACAGGATGTCTTAGAGGTGACTTCCTGAAATCCCTCAGCTTTGCCATCGTTTCTTCTGGCTGCACTTCCCTTCCTCCTTTCTTTCTCATGTTCAGGCACATTCTCAATAACCAGAGATTTTCTGACACCTGCAGTTATCTGCTCCTGTTGCTAAATGCCAGTGTTTCATTGCATGGTGCCTTGTTGCGCTTCTGCCTGCCCTTTCTGGACTTCATGCTTATTGTTTCCAGCCTCAGTGCTCAGAGAAAAGCTTGACTCCAAAAATCTATGAGATGAAGGAGAGCCAAAGAAACCTTGCCTACCCTTTACAGTGCCCATTGCCCCCCACCTGAACATCCTTGCTGTTGCTTGTCCCCTCCTATATTCTTCACCCACCAGAAACTCATATTGTTGCTGTTTTGCCCCATCTGCAGCCCAGGGCTGCTACCTCCTCCCCATTCCACAGTCACCATCCTCAAATCCGGTGCTGAAAAACAGCATTTGTGCCCAGCCATGTGTTGAAGGTCTCTCACGGCCTGGTGGTTTGGGGGGCAGGGAAGAGGCAAGACGTAACTCCCTGTCCCTCACAAATACACACAAACAATGCTTTATTTTGGTGAACTGATGGCTTGCTCAATGTCCTGGGGCACTGCAGGAGCTGTAAATAAGACTCTTTCTGTTTTAATGTTTTTTTTTTTTCAGTCCTGTACTTTTAAAACAGCCTGTGGCAGTGGTGCAGACTCACGACTCTTCCATGAACTGCAGCAACTCGTTCTGTCTGACCTACAACTACCAATTATCTTTGTAACCTTCCTTGAAGGCAAACATGCTTACTATAAAAGCATGCTGGCCATCACATTTTGAAACTATTGGCAGCTAGCTTTCCTCTTCATTTCCTTTGTAGGACAGGGCCCATCACAGCTGTAAACACACCAATATATCAATTACTGCTTTTTCCAGCCAACTGCAGACAAGGGCATTGCTTTCTCTCCTTTCCTTTCCCAACATCAGGGGGATGCTGTGGGATGCTTGGTCCATTCATAGCTACCACTGCCCAAAGCCCAGCACCCCAATGGCCAAGCTACTTGCAGGATGCTGCCCTTTGCAGTTAACCCACTTTGGCTCAGAATTGCAAAGTTTGTGCCATACTCTAGACTGGTTGAATAGGTCCCACCATTCACCCTGAAAATGACTCCTTTTGTTGTTGTTTCACTCACAGCTGCTGGGTTTCCAGCTGTAACCATCAATGAGGGGCCAGAGTTTGGTCTTGGCTCTCAAATCAGGGACTTGGACTCTGCTTAAGGGCTTGTTGCCTATCAGAAGCAACAGCCCTGCATCAGCCAGTGCCATTAAACAGAGCATCAAGCAGGCAGGAAATGTGCTTCATTGCTGTTACAGGTATGGTCCCAGCCTCTACCACATCAATCTGATGCCGAGGAACATTAACTGCTACAACTTTTGATCTCATCAGAGACTGATTTTAACTTTATCAGCCAGGGCAGATGCCTTGGGTTAGCACGGAATATCCCAGAAGCCAGAAATGCTTGTTTGGGAACCTGAAGTGAGGGAGACCATCTCTGAGTTCACAAAACATTTTTAAGTATTTCTTTATCATTTTGTTCCTTGCTGCGGTCTTTCTTTCAGATTCTTGATATATTCAGGCTCACTGTCAAAGCTTAGGAGAAGCTGCATTTCAGTAATAAACAGAGCTTTGTGTACAGTTTATATTTCAGCTGATTATAATTGCACAGCATTTGTGAATCTTTTGAGATGAAACTTGCTGTGTAAATGCAAGATGTAAATTGCCAGCATTAGTTGGACCTTCCTAGGCTCAGCAAAGTTAGTGTGTGAATGAATAAATCATAACTAGATTTCAGTGAATAATTCAGAGCCTAATTCATTTGATAAAAAAAAAAAAAATCCTCTTTTCCTATTCACAACATCACTGTTTGCAGATTGCTGTTTTCTTGTGGCTTCTGTGTGCAAGATTTTACTTGCTCCATACCTCATCCCTTAATGGCCACAGTTTGCTGTATCTGTTGGAAACATGAGGGCTGATGTTTGGCTTGTATTGATGATTTATCAACAGCCATGGGAACTTTTAAAAGTATTTTATTTTCATAGTTGTCTGGGCACTATTTTCCCTGTCTAAAAGTGCTATTAAAACAGCCTGCTCTGGGCTTTGCAGGGAGGTAGGAGAGCTCTTTCAGTAAGGATAAAGCTTGTAAAATATCACTGCTCAGGGACAGGCAGAAGATAAACCAGGTCAGGTGTTACAAAAATAGCAGTGCTTCCTCTTCAGCCACAGTATTTTTTCTTAAAAAAAAAAGAGAAGGAAAGGGTGTTTTGCATATAGGAATGATTGGGAAGACCTATTTACATTTTGTTTATCCTCCATGTCGCTCGGAGGAAGATTCTCATGAGAGCCACCTCGAGGGGTGCTGTATCTCCTCTGAAGCCACCAGTGATCTGCAATGGCTGTAGGCTGTGATTTCACCTGTCATCAGCTCTTATTTTTACAAGCAAAATGGGAGAGGAAGACTGTAGGGCAGGAAGATGGCAAAAATGAATAGAGGCAACGTCAGTTGGAAAGCAGAGACTGAAACTGACATGAGTTCTCCTCAGGATGTTTCAGGCATCTCTGATTGGAAAAAGGAAACATCAAAGCCATCACAAAGAAAGCCCAGTGGCAGAGTAGCAATGATATGGGCATATCAGCATCCTGCTCCTGCCCACAGCTGATCCCATGTCCTCTTGCTTTCCCCTCGCAATCAGACTGGGAGATGATACCTTTCTCCCTGTATTTGAATCAGGCTCAGGAGTAAATACCCATTGCATTTCCTGATATTATCATGTCTGAAATCTCTCTCTTCTTCTTCCTTCCATGCCCACTGCCTGCAGCTGTGCTGGCCCTGTCCCCTGGTGAGGTGAGTCCTTACAGCTGGCTGGGCTCCTGCAGGCAGTAGGAGAAACAGAAAGTGCCTGATACCTCTGGGAGTGGGTGGAGGAATGTGGTATGGGTGAGGGACCATTCCTGCCATGAGTTTGTTACCAATTTCATCACATGATGTCCTTCAGGGGGGATCCTGGTGTGACAACTCCTCCAACATGAGGACATAACACCCTGTGGCATATCAGCAGTCCCAGCAGGGCTGTAGAACAGACATGTCTTATGCAAAAGAAACAGGCTGCATGGTGCAGCCTTCACCCCTGCATGGAGGAGGACCAGGCTGGATCCAGCGTGGCTGAGCCAGGAGGTGACCTCTGATGCTCACTGGGGTGGCATGGCCTCAGGGCTGGGGATTCTGCAGTGACACCATGGTTCAAGAGCAGCCAAGAGGGCTGCAAAATGTAGATGCAGACACCTTTCATTTCTCTGTGGATGTCACTCTATCAGATCACGCTCATGTTTAGGCTTCTGGACTGGCATTTAGCTTTGTGTCACTATCATTGATTACTAAGTTGATTTTTTTTTTTTTTTTTAATTTTCCCTTTAGGATGAGAGACTGGAGCTGTGGCACAGCAAAGCTTGCAAATGCAATTGCCAGGGAGGTCCTAATTCGGTGTGGTCCAGTGGAACTAACAGCTTGGAGTGCATGCCAGGTAATGGGTCGCTCTCTTTCAGCAGTGTCTGTGTTATGGTCCTCAGCATCTCCCCTCATTACACCCTGCATTGCAGTGAGGTGTTACAGTGGTGCCTGTCCCAAACATTGGGGCTGGTGTTCAGCCAGCTGAAAGAAAGCAGTACCCCTGGCCTGGTAAGGGCACCCAGGGTGGTTCAGGCTGGCTGATGCATCTTCCCAGCTCAACAGAAAGCAAACAAAAACATATGCGTATGTAAGAGCTGCAAGAGATGACATGGTTGGCAGAGCATGTACAGATGAGAGGGGGAGAAAACAGATGTTTCTGTTCCACAGTGGTGTTGGATGTGAACAACTCCTGCCTAAGGATGACTCAGCAGGTAAGAACAGAGGCTTTGCAGCCATCCACACCTGGCCCTTTGCTTCCCCTGAGCTCTCCAATAAAACTATTTGAATGCATCCAAAGGAGGGCTGAAAGGTATTGAAGGGTCTGTAAAGCAAGACATATGAGGAGAGCTGAGGCCCCTGTGTTTGCTCAGCGCAGAGCAGAGGAGCTGAGGGGAGGCCTGATGGCGGCTGCAGCTCCTCACAGGGAGCGGAGGGGCAGCGCTGAGCTCTGCTCTGTGTGACAGCGACAGGGCCCGAGGGAACGGCATGGAGCTGTGTCAGGGGAGGGCAGCTGGGGCTCAGGGAAAGGGGCTGCACCACAGGGCGGTGGGCATGGCACTCCGTGGCTTTCCTTCAGGTCAGCAATAACGGCATTATGTGGCTGAGCTGGTTTGGCCAGGCAGGCATCAGGCACCTATTAGTGGGTCTGTGTGCGCGGCATGGCCCTGCGTACCAGAAGGTGACCTGCTAATTTTGTTATAGTCGTGTGATCTATGGATTAGTGATACTAAAAGTAAAACTGCGCTGCCTTCGAGATAAGCCTGCCGAGTAGTAAACATGTGGGGTCACCTCAGCTGCTCTGCAGAAGCGGTTTCTTACGCAAAGGGAGACACTTAGGCAGGTCAGGGCCCCAGCCACAAGAAGGACATGGAGTGGGTCCAGAGGGGCACCTCTCCTATGGAGAGAGAGTCTGAGGGAGTGTGGATTGTTCCAGCTGGAGAAGGGAAAGCTCCAGGGAGATCTCATTGCCTTTCAGCTCTTAAAGTAGCCCACAGGAGAGCCGGAGAGGGATTCTTCATCAGGGAGTGCAGTGACAGGACAAGAGGCGATGGCTTTAAACTGAAAGAGGGGACATTTGGGTTAGGTTTACTGTGGAGAAAAGGCTGATGGTGATTTGATGATCCTGCACTGAGAAGGTAGATAGCTATAAATACACAAGATGGTTTTACCCCTGCTACTACATCCCATTCAGTCCTTCAGAAAAGTGAAAGCTAATCTGTTTCCTTCTGATTTTTTCTTTAATGTCATATAAATGCATGTAAAGTGTGTGCTGTGGGTGCAGGGGTTTCAAGCAGCTGCTATTGGTTGTTGTTATTGGACTTGGTGTTTCCATGCCTGGAGGAAGGCAGGGCAACAGCTGCATGTTTTTTTGGGGAAAATACGTTAATGTGGCACTGACAGAACAAGATATGTTAATGAGATATTGATGTGTAAGATACTGACTTGGTGGAATTTGCTGATGAGACATTGACCATCCCACTGTTGTACTCAGGCATGGCACAAACCATGCCTGCAGTGGCTGCAGGAGGCAGTGGCCACACTGTGCTCCGGGTTCACTCTGGCTCCCTGCACATGGAGTTTAATTGTAATCATAATGCATTATAGTGATCTATCAGACATATTTAAGGCCCGGAAATGAAAGATATATACCACTTCACTCACTTGTTTATTGCCCATGAAACAAAGCATGCTAAGATGTAAAACACGGTAGAGTTCCTTTCTGGAGCACACACATGCAGTAGGAATATGCCTCTCCATAGGCTGAAAAATCACAAAATGCTGTGGCAAGTACAGATGTTTGCCCAAGCAGCTTCCACATGAAGCTTGTGAGCATCTTCTTTATCTGCATCCAAATACCTAGTGATAATCTGCTTGTGTAAAAGATTATCGTAACAAAAAATGCTTGGTCCAAGGAGCGTTCAGCTGCTCTGCGTGCTGGCAGCCACTGGCAGTCTTGATGAGCCTCTCAGTGTTGCAGAAGGCTGTTGTGCGATCAGGTTTGGTAGCCTGGAGATTGGAAGGCAAAACTCAAAAGATCTTTAAGCCTTCAGGAAGGCCAGGCATTATACCTCACTCATGCATAAGTACCTGAACATTTTTCCATAAGGGAAGACTATCTGCAAGCACAGTTATAACCCCCAGAGTAGAACACGCAGATCTGGTTGGAGCAGGCTCAGCAATTCTGCTGCGTAGGCACAGCTGTAAATCACAATAGTACATGAGGAGGAGCTGAAGGAGATGAGGCAAAAAAAGTGGTGCCAGACATTTCCCAAGGACAGCCTGGAGGAGGGATCCAGGACCATGGATCTAGCTTGGATCCATTTGCTTCTGCTTGCAAGAAAGGGGAGACTGAGAGACTACAACATGCAAATAAAACCTTTTTCTCCAAACATCACGAGTAGCAATGACTTAGGAATAACTATATGTAAGAATAAGAAATTTAGATGCCACGTTCCCTGGACAGCAAATAACTGCAGGAGTTGTGGTCAGGGCTTAAGAGCATCCCCAGCATCCTGCACAGAGAGGGTAGGGCACAAGGAAACCACAGAGGGTGTTGACAAAAGATTAGGACAAAGGCAACCAGAAGGCAGAGCAGCTCGTGTCACTAATGGTGGCATGTTTTTATCTTGTCCTGCAGAGTGCCCCTACCACAAACCCCTCGGCTTTGAGTCTGGCGCTGTCACCCCTGACCAGATCAGCTGCTCCAACCCCGAGCAGTACACAGGCTGGTACTCCTCATGGACAGCCAATAAGGCCCGCCTCAACGGCCAAGGCTTTGGGTGAGTCTGAAAATACCCCCTGTGGCTGTGGGGACCCTGTGGGAGGGCATGGGGTAGATATAGCACTGAAGGGCATGGATTAATGGGCACGGTGCTGATGGGTTGGTGCTTGGACTAGATGATCCTAAATGTATTTTCCAACCTTAACGATTCTATAATTCTATAATTCTATGGGGGCCAAGTCCCCTGGCAGTGTGGGGCAGCAGGATGGCCTAGGTGGTGGCTTAGGGCGCAGTGGGGCTGACGTTGTCCCCCCCAGGTGCGCCTGGCTCTCCAAGTACCAGGACAACGGGCAATGGCTGCAGATCGACCTGAAGGAGGTGAAGGTGATCTCAGGGATCCTCACACAAGGGCGCTGTGATGCTGATGAGTGGATGACCAAATACAGCGTGCAGTACCGCACTGATGAGAACCTCAACTGGGTTTACTACAAGGACCAGACCGGAAACAACCGGGTGGGTGGACCCTGTGCTTTGCCTTGTAGTGGTGGTCGCAGGGGTGCATTTGATGACATAAAAGTCTTGGGGGAGGCGGCCTAAGGGAGGGGAGCCTGTGTGAAAAGCAGGGTGGATGGGGCCTGTTGCTTACCCATGGCACACAGCGGTCCAGCCCCATGGCCATCATGCTGTCATGGTGACAGCGTGCAATGCTGATCAGCCCCTGAACTGTGTCTGCCTCTGCCTCTCTTGGCAGGTTTTCTATGGCAACTCGGACCGGTCATCCTCAGTGCAGAACCTGCTGCGGCCGCCCATTGTGGCCCGCTACATCCGCCTCATCCCGCTGGGCTGGCACGTGCGCATTGCCATCCGCATGGAGCTCCTCGAGTGCCTGGGCAAATGTGGCTGAGTGCCCACTGGGTAGAGATGTGCAGGTGTGTGCCTGTATGGCCGTCCCATCTCACTGCTGATGTGTGCTGCGGCCACGATCCTGCTGACCCTACAAACAGAAGGGCTTTCATGAATAAAACACTGCTTTACATGACACCTGGTGATACGGCTAAACCCTACTCCAACAGCTTACTGTTTTTCAGGGGGCACACACCAGCAAAGCTGGGGTGGTTTGTTACCATGGCTTCTGTCCCATGAGATACAGTGTTTCTGATCCTGGGACCTAGACTAGGGACAAGGTCCTGATCCTGGGTGCTAGATATCATAATGGCATGCTGTGTGCATGGGAAGTAGACTTGTGCTCCAATTTCCATGACTGCCTCACCCTCCATGGCCTAGTCCCCAGTGGGTGCTGTGTTTGTGCAGGTGTGGGCTCAGCCATCAGCAGAGGGGGCCCAAAGAGGGGGCAGGAGCCATGGTGTTCTTGGGGTGAACACAAGTTCTGCCTTTGCCCTTTCTCCCAGTTCTCTAGGATTTTCCTTTCCTGCAACAGAGGCAAAACAAACCCATACCAGTAGTGCAAGGTTGGGTTTTCTGGCCATCCATCGCTTCACTCCTTTGACATATTGCTCAGGTAGATTTTGAGGGTAACCAACATCTTGCAAGGAATTTGGGGCATATGGCAGTCTGAAAACTTGTGCTCCACTATCCTAACTAGGAGGTGTGTGGGACCCTATCTACTGAAATTATTATGTCACCATTGCACTCACGCTTTCATCCACAAAATGAGTTTTGTCTATCCATAATGAGTTGAGGGACACATTTTCTTAATGAGAGTGCTCCTGAATAATTTGTTTGAGCTTTCAAGCTTCATCCACAGCCTAAGTGGATGGACCACATGCCCTTATATTCCAAGATAATTTATTTAGCATCTCACGACTGATACTATATTTAGATATAAGAGTCAGAGGAAGGAAAGACTGCCCAGGCAACAAGGGTTTGTGCCATCACTCTCCCTGCTCCCAGCTTTAAACAGGACGCTAGACTCCTTTTCCAGGCTGAAGTGTACAGTGATAAATAGGTGGAACTAACTGGCACACACTAAATTTCATGGTTCGTTTGTGTCCTGCCTCACCCTGTCCTTTGCCTGCACCTCACCTCCCAGCCTGGATGGGGAAGAGCCCCTGCTGCCAGCTTTTCTCTTTTATTTTTAATGTTCTAAAGCAGACGTTTCTGCTCACATCTAAGCTGTACCACTTGCCTGCTAATCGACCTTTGGAAATTCACTTAACCTCTGCCTCTTATCTAAAAAGCGGGGTGCTGAGAGGCTTAATTAATTAAATGGTCCTAAAATGCTTTTAGAAGTGCGCTTGACTTCCACTTCTGCATAAACACAGCATATTGAAGAAGGGTGCAACTGAGGGCATTATGAAAGACGCCAAAACACAATTACAAAACTGCAAAGCTTTTCCTCATGAAGTCAAACTTTTCCTTTTTGGGCACAGATAATTCTAATTACCATTATCCAAACGAGAAACAGTCACTAAGGCATCAGGAAATGGTACAAAACAGTGCTGAAAAGGCAATATCTTCTAGGAGTGAAAAATCCTGCAGATATTTTACCTGTAGAGGTAGGTACATGGCCCTGCAACTTGTAAAATGCAACAGTTTTGAAATGGGAAGCAGGACTGAGAGCTGCCTTCAGCCTCATGACATGAATGAGTGCAGTGCTTACAGAGTGCTGAGTAGTCAGATGAGCTTTGCCTAATCCAAACGGTGTGACAAGAGACTGCCTCAGGCCCTCCAGTCCAGCTACATCATTTCTAAGTCTGTAGCCCCATTCTCTTAATTATTTCCCACAGAAATAACCCCTTAGCAGCTGTCAGAGTGAGATACCCAGACAAACTCTGCTCTCTGTCTCAAGGACAACCAGTGCTGACCACACTGTGGCTACCACAGCGAGGTGTTGAACTCCAGTACTAGAGGTCATGCCCACCGCCCTGTGGTGCAGCCCCTTTCCCTGAGCCCCAGCTGCCCTCCCCTGACACAGCTCCATGCCGTTCCCTCGGGCCCTGTCGCTGTCACACAGAGCAGAGCTCAGCGCTGCCCCTCCGCTCCCTGTGAGGAGCTGCAGCCGCCATCAGGCCTCCCCTCAGCTCCTCCGCGCCGAGCAAACTCCCACTCCTCACACACCTTGCCTCCAGTCACTCCAATATCTTCGCAGCCCTCCTTTGGACACACTCTAATTGCTCGATGTCCTTCTTACATTGTGGTGCCCAAATCCGCACCCAGATTTGGAGGTAAGGCTGCACAGTGCAGAGCAGAGCAGAATAACCCCACCCCTCTCCCCGTGGCAGTGCTGGGCCTGGTGCAGCCCAGGGTACAGTTGGCCTTTTTGTCTACCAGGGTACTCTGAAACGCTGAACCATTGGTGGGTGGAAGATAAAGGCATTAGCTTGGGCCAGACCAGTTTTCCTGTTTGAGACAGAATGAGTGCAGCTCAGTGAAGGCACCACCAGCAGCATGGTGTCACAGCAGACTGTGGCTGCAGCACAAGCCACACAGTGGCCATTTCACAAGGACTTCAGCAAGGAGGACATGGAGCTCTCTCCTCCTCAGTTTGTTTCCAGTTACCCCAAGGAGTGAGGGATTGGCAGCCAAATATTTGAAGTTTTTTGAACCTGCACACAGTAATAAGGGAAGTCATGACCAGGACACATTAAAGGTGAACCCAACAATATCACTGACACCAGAACATTTGTCCAGAAGAGTGTCAGTTTGTGTGGGAATGACAAAGTCCCAACATGTTACTCAGACTGTGATCATCTCCAATAAGGACACAAATCAAGGGCTGGAAAGTTGTAGGGCCTTTTAATTTCTGGTTAATGATTGATGAGCACACGAGGGAGGTGATGCTGTTCAAAAGATACAAAAGCAGAGAAAAGGATGGAGGGAGGGAGGCAGGGAAGGAGGGAGGAAGGGAAGGAAGGGAAGGAAGAAAGAAAAAGTTCCAGTGTTTGCAGTGAGAGTACAGGAATGGTTGGAAATGGAGTGCTTCAGAGCTATCTTGTCTGTGATCCGCAGCCTGCTGTAGGGTACCTGCTTTAGCAGGGGGTTGGACTCAATGATCTCCAGAGGTCCCTTCCAGGCCCTACAGTTCTGTGATTCTGTGATGCTGTGAAAACACCTGCTTTGCAAACAGACACATGCTGGTTTCTCAAACAGGGAGTGCATCAAGACCTGGGCAAAGCAGCTCTGTTACAGCTCTACCCCGTCCAGGGGCATCAGGAAGGCTCTGTAAGCAGTGTGGCATGAATAAGAGCAGCCATCAAGCAGTGCCAATTTTCTAGTGCAAAATCTGCATTTTTATTAAAGACATATTTTGGAAGGCCCATTCAAAAATACATTGTGCTCAGTAAAAATTAACCATTTCCATGCTGATAATTAAGGTTACCACAGGATTTTTTTTTTCTCTTTTAGAATATTTACAGCAACAATATAAATATTACAGAAGTTAAGAATGGAATACATGCCCAAAAAAAATTTGGTAAGGTGTACCAACAACATGATACAAAGCGTTGTATACAAACATTTTACAAATGGTTTATTAACTTGCATGAAGTCATCCTTAAATATTCAGCACAATTTAAAATCAATTTGTATTCCAGGATTAAAAAGATTAACACCACAGCACATTCCTTCCACAACAGAAAGCATGGTAGATCTAAAAACCTGTGCGCTTCGGATTTCTAATAGCTGTTAAAAGTATTGGGGAATCGTAACCATAAATGTAGGAGTTTTGAAAGCCACCTCCCCAGTCGGATATTTCTGGAATAGTGATTGTAAAAAAAGACCCCATTCTTCCTAACTTAGTTCTTCCTTCTTTCTGCCAAATGAAATGAATTCAGAATTCAGTATTTCACAGTGGAGATCTAAGCAGTCCTGGAAGTCCTTATCAGGTTAACCAGATTTAAAAACACCTGCATAGAATGTCCAACAAATTAGTTTTTCGTGGAAGATTTTAGCTCATTGTTCCTTGTAAACCACATACATATGGATGTTACTCTTTTTGATTAGACATATTCTTCAGTAGTCTAAGATGTGCACTAGCTGGAGAAAAAAAAAAGTAAGAAAAGGGAAGCCAAGACAGTTAACTACACCTAAAGTTTTGCCTTACTAAACAGTTAAAAGCTCTGCCATTGGATTTACAAGTCAAGAATTTACACCAAGAGGTTCATAAGCTACAGGAAACTTGAATAACATCTTCCATCTTGCGCTATGAACATGCTGTAACTTTGCTAATGGAAAGCTCTACGAAAGCAGTTACTTCACAAAGCATTTATACGCCTATACAATTAAGATGCCACCTTGCATTTCTCAGAATGGACCCAGAGAAACAATGCTCTGTGAAAACAGAGACCCGGTGGAACAGAAAGCCTGGAAGGCAGTCTGTTTTGGTGGGGCACAATGAGGTAAGGTATCTCACCCAGATGAAATGGAAAATAAAAGTGAAGAAACTCCTGAGCAAGTCTAAGGATAGCTGTTCGAATAAAACAGCAAACAGGGTGGAGTAGTAGATAAGGCCTCTAACTCCCTGATAAACTGCACTAGAGAAACAACAAAGAACAAGGCAACTGCAATATTTGAGAACCACATGGGGAAGAGCAAGGGAAGACTGCAAAGCAGTGCAAAGGATGGTGTCAGGATTCTAGGAGAGCTGAGATGGCTTGGAGGTTTTAGAAGTGTATTGGATGAAGGCCCATCAAAATTTTATTACTTGGTTGCTAACAGTACCTAGAGGAAGAATCTTTTCATACATTTCTTCAAAATTTAGAGTCAGTAATAAACTCAGAATAAACAAACAAAACCTCAACCACATTCTGCAAGAGAGAGGAGGTAGATTGACTTGTAGAGAAGACAAGAGATGCGTAGAGTCACTCTTAGCCTTAGTCTACATTCCAAGTTCAGATTCTTGAGCCATGTTTTAAGAGTCACATTCACAGGTTACATTCTAAAAAGAGCCTGAGAAATAATTTGACTTGCTGGAACAACAGCATCAATGTGTAGGGGGCTCTTTCTCTCACACTTCTGTGCATCTTCTGCTTAGGTTGGCAAGAAAGCCAACTTCTGCTCCAAGCAGTTGGCTGCATACAGTGATACTCCTGGTAGCAAGTGAGCATCCCAGCATAACTTGGAACAAATTAACTTCACGTGTAACCTATCCTGTCTCATGCAGTAGCGTAACAAAAGACTGCTGAGACAACAGATGATCTATGACAGGATTTACCTTCAAATTAAAAGAAGATCTCCTATAAAATTTGCTTTGCTTAACTACCATTAACTTTGCTTCATGACTGCAGAGTGAGAGAACAACTGTTTCAGTACAACATCTGAACCAAGTGCTGTGTACAAGCCTTCAGCAGCCAAGGGAGCCTGAAGCAACGATGGTGCTGTCTGACTCAGAAACGAGCCAACAGCTAGAACTTCCAAGCTGTGTTGTATTAAAAGGGTTTACTCAAATTGTTCCCTTTTTAACAAAGACCAGAAAGTTAAATGGCTTTTCTCCTGATTTACTACAAACCCCATTAATGAATGGTTAATATCATGACACCATTGGGGGAAGCTGTGTGGGGAAAGGCACCTGTTCTTAAATAATGTCCTGATTTAAAGGTCATTTAAAAACAGTTTAATAGGGCACATCACCTTTCCAAGCATCTTCTGTGACACTCCTAATCCTATTTCAAATGGTGGGCCTACGTATGTGAACAACAGCCCAAACGTGTGGTTTGTGATATAATACCATTAATAACCATATTGTGCATGACAGCTGGAATGGATAAAAGAAACATTCATTGCCACCCCACAATTTGCAGTATATTATATATGGCTATCCTTGTAATACCTTTTGTGTGACTGAGATTCAAATATTCTCCCAGTTCTACTCTGACAGTTTTCAGCACATACAGAAGCAATCGCATGCAGATATTCTTGAAGCATGTTGCACTACCAGAATGTTTTAAGACAACAACAACAAAAAAACCCCAAAACATGAACAAAAAACCTTCAGTGCTTCTAGCTCAAAGCTCCTCTCAAAAGTGCCTGTTTTTTGTCTTAGCTAAGTAGGTATCAGCATTGCTTTCAGAGTTCCCTTTATTACAAGGAACCACAGCACTGAACTGTGAAGAACATACAGCTTGTTCTGGGTGAACAAAGTTTGGTATGTGGCTTTTTACACTGTTAAGATTCATCTTTTAGGAGACCTGACTGCAGTAACAAGCACTGGCTGAAGGCCTACCGCAGGACCCTATTGGTTGACAGAGCTCTCAGCTTGGCTCCCAGACACGAGCTAGTATAACAAAAAGGCAACAAGCCTGAAGATGATGTGAAAATATATTCTAAGTTTGGAAGTTTGTGGCCTGCTTTAACACTGGTCTAAGAGAACCGGTATCTGTACACAGAGTGGCATCAGGATCCATCCATTTAAGCGGGTCTGGCTTGGTATCAGAAGTGAAGGCTTGGTATCAGTCCCAAGCCCTGTGGGATGGAGAATGTTTCAGAAAGACTGGATCAGATCTGGAACTACTGACATCCTGACATGAACTTGGCCTGGTGCCTGCTGCTGGTGGCCTCTCAGAGGAGCAATGGATCTTGGACTGTGATAACAGAGCAAAAAGCGTTAAATAGCCCTAAGGGACTGCTCTCTGTGGTCAGGTCTGTTAACAACACATGTTGGTTTAGGTTAATGCATTTTCATGGCAGTTTAAAAAGACAGCTTATTCACATCGTTTTGCACAGTTTCAATTAAGATGAGCTTAAGGTGCTTCATGTCAGTTAACAAGAGCTATAATAAAACATTACAGACAAGTTTAGGCAGCTTGAGTTCTGCAAAATGACTGTTATTCATTTCTGAAACTTAGTTTCTTTACTGTTCACATCATTAATGATGCCATAATAAGGCAAAGCAATTTGCCAAGGAATAAAACACGGTTTAACTAATATTATTTATAGTAAGTAAATCTATAGAACATGTAACACAAGACCAGTGAAGAGGAAAGCTCACACTTATGAAATTGTTTGCTCTGTAATTCTTCTTCTCCTTTATTGAGTCAACAAATCGTAGCCATATAATAAGACTCCTTTGGAAGCTTCAGCAGAATTACAGCAGAATTAGTGATATTCTGAATATTTGGAAGTCAGACCAGATGAAAAATACGCAATTTACCTCAGCGCCAGTTGGTTCATTCATCTGCTGTAAGGTCTTTCTAACAGAACAAAGAAAATACTAGGTATGTCCAACACAATTTGGTATTAAATCTGTTGTGGTTTGTTGAGAAGAAAAAGCAGTACGAAAGTAGACACAACATTTTGTAAATATGGGCCACCAAACACTTGAACATTCTTTAGGTCACTCTTGAAGCTTTGCTAACTACTTTAAACAGCTCTATGTACAGTCAAGAGATTATCCTGATTCAACTCAATGGGTACTGAGGGGAAAAAAAAAGAACCAACCAACCCTTGGGAAAAATTTTTCCTTGACAGAAATCAGAATAGCCATGTACAGCCCAGTATGATCATCTCTCGCACAAAGCTCTTACTATCAATATAAAATTCTTGTAGAGGCAAGACAAAATATATCCACAAGGTACAGAAGAGCTTGGTGTGAATGCTCACTTGGAGGCATTCAGATTGTACTGCTTAGAGCCCCACTCTTAGGCAACGCTCTCATGAGGGATTGCAGTGGCATCAGCTCATTTCAAAGCAGACAACAGGAGTAAACTGGTTGTAATGAACCAGGGAATCCAAGAGACTTCTAAAATACAATGCTATTCCCTTGATCATAAAGACTAGTAAATATCACAATGTCTTTCCTGGATGCCCACTGAACTTATCAGAATCTGAGTATCCTTTCATATCTACTGTATTTATATATGATACATAAATATATTATTTATATACTACAGCATATATAAATATAGTATATACCATAAATATCTATAGAAAATCACACACACATTTCTTGCAGGCAATTGACGAAGAATTCTTATTATTTTGTAGTCTTTCTGACTTACTAGACTTACTTCTTGCCCTGGACAAACCCGATGTACCATCCCTTCATACTGTACTCTATACGAACGATTTTAAAGTGGTGGTGCCAAATTAGTAATTGTTAGAACTTTGGTATGATTCAAGAGGTACCGAACGTCACGTCCAATTTGCATTGTATCAAAATAGGAAGTTCAGCTCTTACTGTCTAGCTACTTCTGTTAACATCTATGGCTAAATCATCAAGTTTACATTCAGGTTAATCTCTGTTTGGAACAGACAACATATTTGCAGGTACACGTGTCTTATAAGGACGCAATATAGAAAAAGGAACTATGCTGCAGAGTAATGAGGGAGTTGAATGAATGAATGAATTTAAAAAGGAAAGATTGTATTGTTCTGACACTACAGGCCTGCCTCTCCTCTTATTGCACAAAAGTTTAGACCAGCATAATTCTTTTAACTCCTAATGACTCAACTCTAGTTTATTTTGCCAGTAGCAACAGAGGAATCAGGTTATATATTTGCTACACTTGATGTTCACCAATGTAAAGGCAGTTCTGACAATGCTGTATAGGAAACTGGAACCCAAGATCTAGTATTTTGCTGAGACTGGTCACTGAACTGAGTATGGGAATATCGGGACATTAAGATCTAAGGAGAAATTAAGCTGCACGGCAACCTTCTCCCTCAACATCCAAATATCAGATGTGTAGCTTTAAATACATCCTGAAATATAATAAAAAGTGCAAGAGTACTTTTAATTTAAATACAGTGTTTATCTTAGTAGTTAATAGATTGCTAACAAGATGTAAAATATACATATGCATAAAAGCTCATACCATGATCCGCAGTGCCATGCTATGCATTAAATGTGAAAGTGTGGCATTTCACTTGCAATTCATGCTATGTTTCTTTGGTTTTCACCCCTACTATTAAGTGGAGAAGCACCTGCTTTAGTTTGTAGTCCTGGGGCACTTTATCTCTTTAGAGCGAAAAAAAACCCAACCACCAACACAGGTCGTTCTGGGGCTCTGGTCTCTTGATGCAGATGCAGAAATCTCATTAGTATTATTAGGAAAGCTAGGGACACAGGGGAGAACATACCACATTTAGATTATTGTACAGTTCTGCAGTCTCTTACATTTAGCCAATACTTCCCACAAAATAGCCCATAATAACGCTTGGAATTGAATGATGTCTTTTGTTTGTTACCAGTAATTCCTATAATACTGGGCTCTCGTAGCTGAGCAAGATTCATACTGTTACAGTCACATTTATATCGACATTCAACTTCCTTTTATTAGAAGTATAATACTGCACTTTATATCACAAATGTATAAAAATATGGCAGATAGTGTCATAACAATACTTTTCTTTTAAATGAGTATATTTAAAAAACAGACAGTTATTTCCCATTTATATATATATTTATATATAGAATAAAATACTCCTGATGCAATATATAAATGTTACCGTTAGTTTTTTATAGAAACTACTGTAGCTGTTGCACTGCTTCACAATGTTTCAAACAGCTCAAAATAACTTTACATTATAACATAAAAGATATGATTATAACAGTACGATATTAGGTCATCATAAATAAATATTACAAATCCTATCAAATATGGAAGTTTAAAAAACAAATTTAAGACACACAATTTAACTTTAAACCCTTAACGGGGATACACTTTTATCACATAAAACCCACTGTTTTAACTAGGCAGCAAAAAATGTAGTAAGGGCATAGGTCTGCACATGAATGTTTTCACCCTTATAAGTGCCAACACATACCAGAAATCTCCCAGCTTTCCAACAGAGATGTGCTCTAAAGCTGGAATGTAAATGAGAGAAAATGGCAATACATTTTTCTCCCTGTATGGCACACTCTGCCTCTCGTCCAGTGACATTTCTGATGACTAGTGATTCCTAATTCGACTCATTTTACTGTATAATCCCTGACTCTCAATGTGGTGCCAAACAGCATAGCTCCACATGTACATATTGCACACCTTTATAAAGCTGAAAGTACAGTCTTACCATCACCAGAACTACCACCGCTCCCTTACGTTGACCTCCATGTGAACTGGCCGATTTTCTGGAGCAATTACAAGGCTGTCTCTTTTAGATCATTCAGATTTGGCATTCGTGACCGGTTTGTTCGGTTATACGTGTGCCCGTTCTGTCCGCTCTTGGAAGGCGGCTGCTCAGAGTAAGGGGGCCCATCGCTGGCGCTCCTGTTGACGGGGGAGACGTGCCAGGTGGGCTCCAGCTGGCTCGGGATCTGCAGCGTTGGCCGGCTCTTTGGCTGCGGCTCTTGCCGTGCGTTGCTGCTGCCGCTGCTGGAGCTTTGACTCATGGGGTGGATTCGCACTTCAGAAAAAGCAGGTTTGGCCGGCTGGCTGGGTAAGGGTTGGAAGCGAGGCTCAGCGGGGACAGAATGATTTGAGGAGAGGTGTAATAGCTTTCGCAGGGATTTTAATGGCTGGCTCTGAAAGACACGGGGGAAGCGCTTGACCTTCTGCTCTCTTGTTATTGTATCATATCACACTTCCCATAACAAAGCCGTCACGTCTTAAATTAAACATCTGGAACTTCACAGGACTTCCTCACTTTTAATATGTACTCACGTGGAATATTTCCTTCCAAGCTGAGAAAACATACTCGAGAAAAATATTTTCTCATTATGGTTCAAACCTGAGTAACTATCTGCACTGAAAGGCTGGCAGAAATCAGCAGTTTGATATTTTGTCAGCCAGAAGCTCTTAACCCTCATAGCTTCTTTAGCTGATGAGCAGGTGGAAGGAAAAGGGACACGTGGGGCTACTGAAATGGGAAACAAGTGCCAGGGTAAGCCCGAGTACACAAAATGGCAGGATGACGACTCCATTAAATTCCTCAGCTCACAGAAAAATGTGCTTCTTCAAACACAGCGGCTGCAGTGAATCCTCTTTTTCAGTTTTTGGTGTCATAATGGCACAGAAGCTGCCTCCCAACCTCTGCCCCTCAAGCTGGTTTTAGAGATGGAGAAAATAAAGTGGCATTTGTGCAGTGATGCTCCAGCGATCCAGCCTGCACAGCCGGCAGCCTGTGCCAGCTAAGGCACAGGGGTGTGCTCACAGCGTTCTGCAGGCCCATCAGCACTTTTGGGGTGCACCACACCTTGAGAGATAACTTAAGGGCCTCTCCACAGCACTGCAGTGTCTGCTGTTGTTGTGCACTGAAAGACTGTCTGCATCTAACACATAACCAATATCTCTAAAGGCTCAAAGACTGACATGGGGACATTTAGTCTCTCTTCTTTTCCCTGTCATCTATGTCCAGATTTTCAAAGAAATACATAAGACTACAGGTACATGTTTTACATTTAGAGAACAGGGACTGGGGGGGATGGGAAATAATGTCAAATGCAATTTTTCTATTCAGCAGAGAAAAAGTTCTCGAGGTACTTCAGATGTTCGAATACAGGGAAGTGATAATGCTACTTACATGGGGCTGGATTTCTGTCATCTTCTCAGGATGCCAATCCTTCTGCCTGTTGCTCTGGTGATTAGAAGAATGAATGGCTTTCTGTAACGCCAGGAGATCCTGACCATCAGTGCCAGGCATCTGCAACAAAACGTTAGATAGTGGTCTCTCAATACAGTCCTCAGAATATTTGCAAATCATTTTTCCCCAGTTAATTACATTATGCAAGTAAAGCTGATTACTGCAGCAGAATTGCAATGTCCTTTCAATATTTTCCCCATAGGAAGAATAAGAGGCTGCACAGGTCATGCAGATTTGCTATGCCCTTAGCCCGTAAAGCATTCACATGCTGTTAGTGTTATTTGTTGTAAGAGAGAGCAGTTAAACAAGGCTTCCAAAAAAATCAACCAAAAAAAATTGTTGAGCCTCATCTTCATTTAAAAGCATTCCATACTGCAGTTAAGACCATGGATCAGTTCTATAAATTTGTTCCTGAGTGAGGCAGATCAAAGTCGTGTCTGAAGTGATGTCTGTCTGATTTTGCCATCACAAAACAAGAGCTTTTCCTTTCCCCATCTTTCTGCTCCTCCATGAATATCCCAAACCAAAGTACAAATTGAAAAACTCAACAACCCTAAAAAAACAAAGTGCAAATTCAAGAGAATTTATGGCTTACATAGAGACTTCAAGAGTTTTAAGCAAAAAAAGGACAAAAAGGACAATTCAATTGGACATATTTTTAGATGGAAGCTGTTTTTTTAACATGAACAATCAGGACAAACAAAAATACAGTAAAAACATGAGCTAAAATTGGTATTTCAGATAATCTGTTAATATTAATGTTAATATTTAATTAAATTCGTGTATAAAGGATCAGTTGACACAGAAAATGCATTTCCAATATAGCTATAAACCAAACCAAGTTAATTTTTTTTTTCCTGATTGAAATGGACAGAATATTTTTAGCTTTAGACACGGGCAATTTCATTTTCTCTGGAACTATATATATACTGCATTTTCAGTATATCAAATAGTCAAAAACTATTTGCCTTTAGACACAGTCTACTTCAACAGAACTGCCAATTTTACTTCAATTTATCGAACTGGCCCAAGATACTTAACTGGCATGAAGAGAAAGTGACCCCATGAAAATAAAACACATGCTGCTGTAGTCAGTAAAACAAGTTTACTGGAGCATTTTACAGAGCTACTGTACTTAAAAATTAATACCATGGGTAGAGTGACTACAGGAAGCTTTTTCAAAGAAGAACTATGCTTTAAATTATTCTTTGAATTAAAAAGAGGAAAGAGGGATTTCTTGATGCTTGGATTCTCCCCGTTGGTTGAGTCTGTCTGTAATATAAGATACAAAATCTAAATGCATAGCATTTCAATTCAAGAGATCTGTCCTTACCATATTAATTCATTACTTTATTTTTGTAGTTCCAATGGTACATAGTATCACTCCTATGTATAATCTGCTTCAGCAAAATATAATGATTGAATAAAGAAAAGTGCATGGAATAAATTCAAGGAGCTCAGTGCATACAAAGCATGGAAAAAGAGATCAGTACGCCTATTCTTATATCCATTTCCCACTAGGAATGCAGAATGCATTTCAAAGCCTTTTGAAAACTGTAGGTACGTCTTGTTGACATTTACTGAGTTTTGGAACAATTCTTCTGTTACCTAAGATAAGGATCCACAATTATATGACACTTCTTATTTTTATATAGGTAAAATATCAAAGATATACTAATAATATTAGCAATCAGTTTTAGCATGAGCAGTTAATAATTACCTCTGGAAGAAATACAAGTGTTTTACTTTTAGCTTTTAAAAAAAGGTAGAGCTCCAAGATGAATTATTTCAGTTCTGACCAAAATACGACTTCAACAACTTGATGTACAACTGCAAGAGCACTGCCTGTTTAATTTTTACTTCCCTAATACAGTCAAAGAGCATAAGAGTGGATGAAATTAATAATAATAATAAATATAATAATAATACTAATAGATTAACTATCAAGAATTAAAATTATGAACAAGATTTCTCCCCAGCTGAGGTACAAACAAGCATTATTTTGCTTGCTCTACAATACAGACAAATGATCATATGACTAAATAGAATAACGGGTGCATCACCAGAAGAGAAGGGTTTCAAACAACCTTCCCATCTTCTAGGTTCTATGCAAGTTAACAAAAGACAAAGACACTAAATGACATAGCTTCTTTAGAAACTGTATGGTCAGAAGAATTTCCTGTTTGCAATACAGTAAGTTAGAAAGGAATCAAAGCATCAGTAGAAGAAATGTTCATTTGCATCTGTTTGTTTCCAAAGGATGTAATTTCTTCAGTTCCATTGCTTGCAGCATGTGACAAAGTCTGATTTTGCCTAAGATGGGGCATGTTGACACCATACAGAGCATTCACAGATATTAAAATGCTTGGTAAAAAAACCCTGTGATTCCAGCAATCTTCAAAACTTTTTACTACATTACAAAATGACTCCCAGCAAGATAAAAGGAGAATGAATAAGAGCAGCTCTGCAGAAACAATATTGCAAAGAATTCCCATGGCAGACAATAATGATTATTATCCCATGAAGAACTGCACCTGGAGAACTCTAGTGAGAATGATTAATGGGAACAACTCTGCACAAGGAAGTGTCAGAAAATCCTATCAGTTCTGAGCTATCAGGAATTTTGAGAATGGCATTATTAAGAAGATATCTTCAATTCAATTTCAGTCATTTTTGTGACTCTTATGATAATCACCAGCAAAATGAGACTTTCCAAAGAATATTAGAAGTAAATAATAACTAGTGAATGTGATATTAGCATCCTCTTAACCTCATGGCATGCTTCTCATTATGACTGTTCTCTGGTCTGGTTTGTTATTTGCTGCAGAAAGTTTTTATCAGAGTACATAGGTAGAATTACATACTTCTAGGAATCCGTAAGAATTATAAACTTCAGAATCAAGACCCAAAAAACGTCACCAGCTCTATGTTAGATTTGTTAACATGAATTCATAGAAAACATTCACATAGTTGCCAAGAGCTTTTACTACAAGTGTAGAAGGTTTTATTACAGAAGTCAGACTTGGTGTTGAACTGAAGGTATTAATTATCATTTGCACTGGGAGATCCTAATGAATATCTCAGTGTTTGTTAGGTAGACTTCCTCAACTAACAGTGTCTGAGCCAGACACTTGTGCATATCGTGGCATGCATAGCCTGCCCCTAAAGACTGTCTTGTAAGTACAACTGTCAACTGTAAGTAGAAATGAGAATAAGTTTTTTGGATCAAGTTGATGTCAGCAAGTTTGTAGATGAGATGCAAGACTTTTATCACTCTCTCAATTCAGGAATTTTATCTATCTTCCTGTGATATACTAGTTCTAACCAGACATTGCAATGTCCCCTCCTTTTGTAAACCCTCTATCTCTCCCTCTCTCTCTCTTTCTTTCCTTGTCCTTAAGAATGAGAAGAAATAGGAGTAAGGATATGTATAAATCTGCCTTGGCTTGTAACCAGGGATGTTTTCAGTAGCTGCAGATCAAGGTGCTTCTCATTCAGTGTTTTAGAAAGTGCTGGATTTTGAGTTGCAAAACAACTCAACTCGGTCTCTCCTTTATTCATATAGTTTAATCTGGCAGCCCTCGCTACTTAACATATCAGCTAGGCTTTTAAAGTGTTCTCTTCCTCCAAGTCTGAATGGCTGAAATCCAAAAAAGCGAATTTAACATCACTGGAACAAGTGGCTTTAGGTGTGCTATCCTTTCATGGACATTTTGATATCAAATAATCCCAGAGTCTTAATCTAGATATTTTGTTCCATTGTGTAATGCAAATGGTTATATCTGAACTGAATACAAATCTCAAGGTGAACAAGTTCAGGAGGAAAAGCCTGGCCAGCAGGAAGACATGGTGCATCTTGTGTGCCAATTAACACACACATGCACACGTTTCATGCAGTTCAAAGAAAATTAAACAAACAGAAGTAAATGAACACTCCACTCCCCCAACTTTCAACAGATCAGCCCTCCACCAAAACCCAGCTCACACCACCTCAGTCTATGACAGAAGATATTTCAATACAGTCACTATCCTTCATCCTGCAGTACCATGAACTTCTTCCAGAGCCTATTTTAACTACAGTGAGTAAGCATGACTTACTTCATTTCAAGAACCTTCAAAACTGTAACTGCAATTTCACTTACAGAAATACTGCAACTTAATTTTTCAATGTCATTGAGATCTTAAACAAACTGAAACCTGAAATGTGAGGAATTCAAGTAAGCTTCTCTAAAATCAGAGCATATCTTACTGCTGGTGATGATGATCTCAATACTAGGTAAAATAATTTCATTTTCAGAATCCAAGTAAAATCTGAAATTTATCCTTTTATTTTTACACTGAGAACAACAATATCAGAAAGCTGTTGTCACTAACAAATTAATAAATCTTAAAAAACATTTTATCACGTTTTATCTTAAAAAAATAGTTGAACTCTTCATTTTCCTACCCAGAACTCATTGCACAGGGAAATGAAAGTGTGACATACACTGAAAAGAATAGGCAACAAAGAGACTAAGGTTTTTTTTATGACGCTATTTTGCACATGAAATTTAGCAACATACTACTTTACTAATAAAAATAAGTCATTCTTCTGGTGGCCTGGTTGAGAATTACAAAGCCCCAATTTTTAGATAAAGTACCTGCAGTTTAGCTTACTTTCTGTTTTATTCAGACTGAATGCAAATGAAATTTTAAGTGTTTTACTGTTTCCAGAACTGTCATCCAAGAATGAGATAAGACGATGTTTAGCCTTTATTCTATAGGGATTTTCATTATAGAATTTTGTGAAATGCTAACTCGCCACTGCCCTCTGATAAAGTTCTTTTTCCCTTCCAAAACCTAGATGTAAATACGGAAAAGATAAGAGACTTACACCAGGTGACAAAAGCCACAATCACCAAAAACCATAAAGCATTTGCAATGGTTAAGACACATCTCTCTTATTCCAGTCACAGGGTACAGCAACACAGAAGCTGTCATCAAGAGCGTGCCGTGAAAAAGATCTTAAAGAATTCTCTTTTAAAGCAGTTTGATCTCTTAATGGGAGTCTGAAATTTTTCAAGCTCAGAGGACAGTAATACATTTCTACTCTTTGAATGGAGTCACCATATACTGCAAAAGAATTTGCTGCAACATCTGCTTAAAACTTGCATCTAAACTGGATGACGAAGTATCTGAATGAATACAAAGACATAATATAGCACATGTATCTGACTGTATCTGACAGAAAATAAAATAATAACAAACAGATACAGGCAGGTATGACCACAAATAATAGAAACATACTGTACTAATCTAGCATATTCAAATAGTGCCATTTAAAATTGATAACTACATTTTCTTTTATAAATAGTTGTGTACTTACGGTTTGAGATTTCTTCTTTTTCTTTTTTATTGCCCTGAAAAAACCTTGCTTTTCTTTCTCCTTAAGCTGTTCAGAGTGACTGTTAAGATTTTCAGGACTTTTCCTAAACATGAGATAAGGTATTGTAAGATAGATTTCATTTTGACACTATGCAAATTCTGCATAATAATGAGACCTTACACCAAAGAATGAAAATTAATGATTAAAGCACTAAGATTCTTAGTATTTTAGCATTCATTGGTTCAAAGGTTACTATACAAATAACGGACAAATTACCTTATTAAATGGAGTAGGAAGAACACAGTGTTAGGGTAAAATGATTAGCTCAAACCACTCAGTAGTTATTTAGGGGAAAAGCAAGCATGCATTTCTATTTTATTTTCTTTTAAGCCAGAATTTAATATTCCAACCAAAGTATTTACACCAAAGGTCTTTTAGAAAAATTAAAATCATAACTTGGAGAACATACAAATGATGAGGAAGTATAAAAGCACCGGTCCAGTTTATCCACTGCTTGGTGGAGAGCCAGGAGTTGCAAAGTTTGCCAGACAGAACCAATTTCGATCAAAATTCCTGACCTTTGCTGACATGGTTCCAAATTTACCATCAAGGAAGTCTGGGGATCTATTGTGGTCCATTTCAACTTAAATACTTCAGTTATTTTGTTACACATGGGTGAGACAGTGCTGGCAAAAAAAGATGACCCCAGAGTGGAACAGTTGACTTGCCTGAAGTTGGAATTTTATTTATTTCCACCTTATTTCTTGCTTACAGCTGAATTATCCACAGTTGATAAACGGCATGCTACTTACTTAAAGCATATGCAGCAAACTATGTATGTCAAGTCCTGATATAGAATAGAAAGATGGCTTATGTAGGACAGTAGTGAGTCAGACCTGAATGCAGTTCTAGTGCCCTTTAAGGTATTACGAAAACTGGAAATGGCAAAGGGAAGTTTCACAGGGGTAGAAAGAACAGCCTACATTAAAAGGGTCAGAGATTTCCAAGTCTTTAGTATGTTAAAAAACACAAACCCCAGCATTTCTAGTTTCCTTGGTTGCAGTGTACAGGTACTTATACAGGAAGAAATTACAGAGTAATTTCAATGGATCTTTAAAGCAGAGGGCAAAGACATAACAAGTAGGTACATGATGAGGCCACAGAAACCATATTGTAAATAAGGCACTGATTTTAATAATGAAAATTATTAACCACCAGAAGTAACTCTTTAGTGAAGTAGACTGGCATCTTTTTGATAGTTTTTGAAATCTGACATTTCAAATCAGGACTGCATAAACTCCTGCTGGGTACACTACTGGGCTTCAACCCCAGAGAACTGATGACATTTAATGGCAACTAACACAATGGAGGCCATTCTTGGTGCTCTAATAGCCCTTTTCAGCCTTGAGGTGTATGAAAACAAAAATGAAATGATTCTGCTGTCCTGCTGCAAAAGCTGATGGCAGCCACAGTTCTCAAGGCTCTGGATGACAAGGAAAAGCAGCTCTTCTTGGAGCAACTGTAATGTAGCAATACTTTGCTGTTTGCTATAGTTATCTTTGGGTTCTAAATCTGGCTTAAAGCACTACGCTGCAAGCTGGTGATTCAGCTGCTACTATGTGCCAAGCTGACATTATTTTCCAAGCAAATGGGAAACACATAATTGGAGTGGGAACGACTAGAGAAGCCTCTCTTATTGATAAGAGTATCTTCACTCCCAGTGTTTGATCAGTTCCTCGAATTCTACCCAAAATAGTAAAAATGTTACCTGGTTCTATGGAAATGCACGCAGTGTTTAAACACTGTAATAAAGTGTAATTATTGAGTAAGATAAATGTGCGTAGGGGAAAGATTTATAGGCAGAGGAAATGGTGGGAATTTTCCTAATTTAGATTTTCGTAACTTAGATCTTAGATCCAGAAAACATTCAAGCATTCAATGTGATAGACAAAATGTGAAAATCTGAACTGTGAAAGTTGATGTGGGAAAAATCTCTACTTCAGTATATAATTATTAGGTTTCTATGACATATTATAAAGATCCTGCATTGCTAAAGATACTTGTTTATGTCATGTTCTTTTATGTCATGTTCCTGGATTTGGTATCATTGCATAACAGCACGAAGTTCTGTATTATTCATCTAAAGCATCAAGGAAAAAGCCCAAAAGTAAACACTACTGAAAGCTTTACAGAATCTGTCAACTCTCAAGAATGACTTCACACAGGCAAAATAACTACTGAATTATTTACTAAATGGTATTTATTTTAGGGAGTTTCATCTTCTTTAATCTATTAGGAAACCTAGAGGAAACCAAATGCCCCAGATATTTTGCTTATACTCTGAAAGTCATGTGAATGGGGCTGAGAATTGCTCACACCTTTCCCCAAAGGAGCTATTGCACACTGACATCTGCAGACACCCCATACCATGTGAAAATTACCAACCTAGTGACTATGCTGCCTATTAAAGGACCAGTCTCAGATCTTAGGTCCCAGTGTGGTTACTCTGCACTGTCCTTTAAAATGTCAGTGTCTTGCTATGGCTATTCTGCTCCAACATCCAACCTTCAGTGGAAACGCTGTATTTTTAAAGGTGAATTTAATCTTCAGAATAAAACCTGGGACAACTTTTGCCACACTTTCAGACAGATTCAGTCAAGTATAATTCTTTTATTTGGTCCAATGAACCTGGACATGAAAAGTGCTCCCAACAGCAGATGAACAGACAGAAGCGAAACTCTGTGCCGTAATTCCCTCATTATGATTCCAGTGACCAGACAATGGAGAAAAGTAAGGGGCTGAGAACTCTGCTCGTTTCCAATTGCTGCTTACCCAAAAGGCAGTGGTTTTACACCAACGGGTTTATGTCATTAACTCCTATGACTCATATTGCAGTACAGTTGTCTGAAAAAGCACTGACCTTGAAAAGCAACTGCTTCAAAACACATGCTCATTATATCAAGAGAGCGAACATATATAGCATTATAGCAGGAAGTTTCAACACCAGGATTTCGTAACGAGTAAAAATAGAGCAGAACATTTGGATCGATGAGATAAAATACTGGGGTATTTTAGGCATCCCAAAAGATGGTTTTCAGACAATGGACAGTACAGGAAAAAAAAAAAGAAAAAAAAAGACTATCAGAAAAAATCTTACAATGTAACTGTCAAGTCTTGGTATTTTGCATAAAGCTTCAGGTCTGGAGAGCAAGCAGTTACACCACAGCCTGTCACACAGTGCCTCTTTTACCAGCAACTAAGACCAGCCCTAGAGAAAAGTCCTCACTGACAGAACTTGCCCTCAATCAGAAATTAAAAGCAAAAAATGCTCTTCTCCATTATTTACACTTCTTTTTGTATGCATCTCCTGCGTGCTTAGCACACATAACACAGATCACATTGGTTATTCTGGTCAAAGATACTTAGAAAAAGACACAGAAACAAGAGAAATGCTGTGACTGTCACTATCACTAGTGTTTATCACCCTTTGGGCAGAAATGGCATCCAACCTTGTGCAGGTACATCAAGGTGTAGCAGCAAACAGGCACGGGGCAGGCAAGCTGCTGTGCTTTATTAATATAAACATAAAAAAGAAAAGTAAGAAGCGTGCTGCATTCATGCTGCCACAGATACACTCATACCACACATAGCTCTTTTCTGGAAGCAATTCCTCATGCTTCAGCTTAAGTTATTCTTCATTAACCTTAATCTCAGCAGGGAGCTGGGTCAGAAATCCTCTAAGTGCCACAATACTGTTCTCTGTAGAGAACTGCTCAGTTACATGAGTAGGATTTGGGTCTAATGGAGGAGTTACTGAAACGTCTTCGAAAGAAAAGTGAATGAACAAAATAAAAAACTGTTGGCAGTCATACCGCTGCCATAAACAAAAGCAAGATAATGTCAGAGACCTCAGAAGCATCTCAGACACATAGTTTACCAAAGATATCAATCCCACAAGCTGAAGCCCATAGTAGCTTATAGACTTATTGGTCTAAAAGCCTGGCGCTGAAAGCTTGAAAAGCGATGTTCAGATTTGATCTCTGATAAGAGTCACTTTTTTTTTTCCTTCATGAAAAAGGTAGGGTTTATTAGTTGGAATAAAACCCTGATCTACTACCTGATATACTGAATACAAAGCAGAAGCCACTATAACTACTAGGATCACCATGTTATGGCTTTAGAAAAAAAAGTATACATACTTTATATGTATACATACATCCTTTATGCATTTATACACATAGACATTTTATACTCCTCCCATAGCACCCCCTCTATAATTCAACATCAGTAAGCCAAAAAAAAAAAAGTGGAAATACTTAAACTTGGTTTCATAAGCTTGTAGTTCATCAGGCTTATTTCTCAGACAGAATATCGATGGCTACAAATTGTAGAAGGCTTCCTTGCAAATAACATTACATTTCATTACCCAGTTTTAGTACAAAACAAAACCCGCTGATGACCAGGGAAGGGACAGGAAAGAGGCACTGTTTAGTAGAAGAAAGCCTACATGCACTGGCAGGGAGGCTGAGATGCAGCCAAACAGCTGAAAAAAGCAAACACAGCAGATGATAATGCACATGCCATAGCCTTGGAAAGGAAATGTCAGAGGGAAAGTGACACCACTTGGAAGGTGAACATCTTCAGGCTATGCCGAGCAAATTCCTAAAGCCTTCACCCACACCACTGTAACACACTGTTCATTTTTAAACTTGCAAACTACAAATTTGGAATTTTTTTTTCTATTTTTAGATCAATTCTAGGTATCTGTAAACGAACTGGAGTGAATTTGCAATGCATGAATATTCATACTGCAGACAGTCGAACAAGCTGTCAGCTGCCTCGTTCAGGTGTTGGTAACCTGCTAGTTTCAGGGAACTCAGCATGACTATATTTTCACACTGACACTGAAACAGCAATATTAAAGCCAGCTGGGTCACATCTGTAACATATAAATTGTTTTGGAGTCCTGACAACTAAGGACAGATAAGAGTAAGCCGCTGACACTCCTAAGAATAGGATGTTCTTGAGTCACAGAGTGTTTGTGTGCTTATTTGTTTGTACACATCTAGAAAATAATATATGCATTCCTCATTTTTATTTTTTGCAGGCAGATACGACATATTCTAGCTGTCACAGAACAAATAAGCTTTAATGGACAAAAAAGATCTATGCAACAAAGCTTTCCAAAAGTTTCCAAATATCTTGCAAGCAATCAAGCATTTCCAGTAAGATGTGTGATACTGCGCATTAGAGTTTATTCCAAAGAGATATTTAGAATGATAATAATGCAAAGCTAAGGGTAACACACGTCAGCATTCTGGCACACAAGCAGAACAAGGTTAAGTATCTTGCCTATTACCTACTAGTTTTGCCCAGCTCAAGGCGAAACTTGTACAATTTTGTACAACAAACATCTATGTTTGTTTCTAAAGACGGAATAGTAAGCAAGCTCAAGGTCATTCAGGGGAAACTAAACTCAAGCAAAAAGATTTTCTAGAAAGATGTAAAATATACCTTTTTTTCCCCCCAAAATCAGATTCTCAGAAGTTCCAAAATAGGTTAGTAATATAATAGTAAAATAGTAATTTAATAGTAAAACCTGATCACAAAAGTAGAGTTTATAACATCTTTATTTCGAAGAGGCAGGACAGCGGGGACAGAGTGAAGAAATGCACACAAAGACAAGGGAACATTTGTGACAATTCAGTCTAGCAAACATTCACAAAATCCTTGACAGAAGAAAGGTAACACAGAGCAATAGTATGAGAGGAGCAATATTTTACAGCAGTGGCAAGTCTGAGTGGAATACATGTCACTCATAATTTGAGATGAATTGTCATGTACCAGTTATGTATGTCTTTCAGACATCAAATATTTACTTCATCATAAAATTGATGTAAGCAAAATCACAATCCATTAGAGCTTTCAACATTTTCATAAGCATTTACACAACTTCTATACAGAAAAGTAAGTAGAGGAACACAGACTCTACATCACCCAGGAATCTGCATTCACAGCACAGAACAATTTTGCAACAACATTAGACCATTGCCAGGACAGCTTGCACAGAGCAACAGGTAGAGCTGGGCAGGAAACATTTCAGGAAAATTGGGAGTAGGAAAAGGAAAGAGAGAAAGGAATGCATCCCAAAGTTAACCCGCTGTTGAGGGCATTGCCATTCTTTCCATTTCACAAGACTAAATGATTATTCTGTGGGTTTTTCTCTCAAAGGAGCTGTTCCACTTTGTGGAAATATTTGAGTATATTAAATGGAGCAAGGACTTAAATCTAACTCTCTCAAAGTTAATCAAGGGTCTTTTTCCACTAGGCTATACTTTGCATCTCTGTGGCCCTTTCATTATTTCAACAAGATGAAATTTCTAAAGGAGAATATATTTAGAGTAAAAAGAGAATGTGCTTTAACTTTTGGTTTGGGGCATTCACTCCTTAGAGCCAAGATCTCAGTTCAAGTCTCTGGTTTAAATAACAAAGAACAAAGGCTCTGCACTTGAGTTCTTCACGTGCCAAAAAATAATGCTGATCCTACAGTACTCATTATTTTGAGTATTTCTCTGGTTCTGACTGGCAATTAAATCCTGGAACTGAAGACTCTTTCCAAAAATTTTTAGTTGATATTAGTCTGTTCCTTTGAAAAGTTTTGATTTTGGTAATTTGTAATTGTAAGGAAAATAAATACTTGGTCAAAAAATTCCCAACCAGCTCTAATATCATATGTTATTATTTCAGTTCAGAGTTGAAATAACATTACATGTTCCTTTGCAATAACCACATAATAAAAGGTAATATATTACTGAATGACACAGAAAGGAAAACAAGATTCCAGTTGTCTTGTTGTATGCAAGATAAGAAGCTTCAAATATGAAGGACAAGAGAAGATGTAAAAAGCTTCAACAGTGAAAACAAAGACCTTATTTATCCACATAAATTACAACAATGGTACCATCTTTTTACATAAATGACCAGATCCCCAAATTAACTTTCAAACAAAACTGATGTAGGTGGAGCTACTGAAGGACAGGAAGCAGATTCTAGAGAATCAGAGCAGGTGACAAGTGTTCTGGAGTAAACATCTTCCGCTGCTGACATGGGTATAGAACCTGAACAAAAGCTGAGATACCATTTGTTCGTGTCCCTCCTCCTTTCTTTTTTAAGCAGATAATTCACAGATTGTTCACATGAAAACACAATATGTTAACAAACCACTGGAACAGTTTTTTAGCTAGCATAATTTTATCGCACTTTCAGAGAGCAGAGTTTCAGATAATGGTACAAAGTACACTTTAGACATGAGAATGCATACGGTCCCTCCCAACAATCCTTTGAAACCGTTTGTTTTCATTCACTGTGCTTTATTGTGATTGAACGAAGTAGAACATTAAGACTATTTCAGAACTATATAGCTCTCACAGTAAGAAAATTAAGATGTTTCCCTTTAAGTCCTGCAAAGCTACACATATGCTGCCATTCTATTAGCATAATTAGAGTTAATCGCTCTATGTTATACAATAGCATCATGTGATACTTCTAAATCTTTTAAAATCAATATACGCCACTCAGATGTTGCTTTAGCCACTTTCTCATAGAATGTGCTCAATTCCTTCTGTGATGCATAAGCAAAGAAAGCAGCAGTCCCCACTGCAGGGTGAATATTGTATTCTTCATTAACAGAGTCCTATTTTATATATGGAAACATGCATTTTTTTATATATGTTTTTTACATTTGTTTGACAATTCATGCTTCTAGAATCCACAGATGAAGCTAGGGGTTTGCTATATGCACACAAGCACTTTGTATTATCTTTAACCGAAGGCTGATAATGGAAAAAAAAGAGTAAGCAGACAAAAGAGCACCATTTCTAATGCATTCAATGCGATGAAGTATTTCTTGTTGCTCAGAAGGGGACAGCAAACATGCAATGTCATGTCAGTACAGTCAGAGGGAGCACTAAAGAAAGCATGAATATACAATAGCAAATTTTGAAAAAAAATCTTGTAGGTTTTTTTTCCTCCTCTTAAAAATCCTTTTTTTTTTCCCTGCCATTCTCTACACATCTGTGTAAATAACAACTCACCAGGTATCAAAGGTGGTTTGTCTCTTTGAGTGGTTTGCCACCGTGCTGCTGTCTGCTGGTAGTACAGAGGCTCTGTTTGACACATTGTTTTCTATGTACGTGCTGTCTGGACGTGGAGATGGAACTGAACAGAGAAATAGCAAACACTGTATACTGAGCTCTGCCAAAAATCACATCTTTGAGTTGTATGATTTCTCTCTCCCTCTTCTACAAAAACAAATGAAGTGACAGTTGCACTTTATGTAAGAAGCACAGAAAAGTACTTCTTAATTTTTACAGTTTGGAAAGCCCTTGTTTTATAATAATTGCAAGGTAATATTGTAAAATGATGGCATCACTAAAACTTGGTAAGATATTCTAAACATCATCTAAAGATGCTTGCAAGTGTGACTGATAGTTAGAAACAGGAAATAGAATAAAAGGCTGGATTACTGGTATTAAAGACAAAATACTACAGCTATCCCTTTGTCTTAACACAAGCCTTAGGTACAAAACAAAACATCAATCTTAAAAAAAATTAGATTTAACGTAACTAGGAGTACAAGATTGCTTACTAAAAATGAAGGGATCAAAGTCAAATATGTTTTTTAAACAAAAATACTGTACTTTTGAAAACAAGTAACAACCTAAAGTACGAATTTGCTATCAGAATTATGAATAACATCAGAAATATCTGCACTGGATTAAAACTGATCAGACACTAGTTGCAGCACTAGTGTACTACCAAAATTGAATTGTTAATTTTTGATTAATTTCTAGTACAAAAGTACATGCCAGTAACCTCTGTTTGAAGTCAATACTTAAGAATTGAGTCAATAGGAATTTACAACGTTTCATATTAAGTTTTTCTTTCAGTAACTTTTACATATACTTTTATCAATGTATACTTCAAATATAATAGCACTTCTCCAATGAAATAGTTAAGTCTGTGCATTAAAATGAAGTTGTTTCCTATATGTAGTTAAATAACTGCAATGGGACACTGACAAGGATTGGCAGAACTGAACATGGCTAAAGCAGGTCATCTGCCAATTGATCAACCTGAAGAGGATCAGAGGGAGACTGGCAACTCTGCTTAAGGTTATTAGGTGACTCATAATCGAATTTTAGCTGATTGTGACTACTTAAGGTTCAGGGGAGTCCCACAAGCCTCCTAATATTCGTAGGACAGTAATTAGCTTGTCATCCTTGTTCTTTTCAAAAGGATTACCCAGGTTTAGCCATGAGACAGCTGCTCACAAATCACTGTCCTTATTGTTCCATACCACAATACTATCTATTCGTGTATAAACATGCATGTATATGCACACATATATATAGTACCTAATAAGTACATCTTAGGTACTTATGTACGTGAACACACTCCTGCTTTATTATTAATTCTCAACTGGGCTTACATAACTGTGCTTTTACTTGTTGAAACCCTGAATTTTAGTAAACATGCACAAAAGATACAAAGATAAGTTTCAACAAACGAATAAATAGCATTGGAAGAACCATGTATCATATTATTTAAGACAAATCAGCATGTCAGTGTGTCACAAGTAGAAAGGTGTTTAGATGTAATATTAATAAGAATTGAAAATATGAATTGATATTTAAAAAAAAAAAAAAAAGAAGAGTTTACTCCAGCAATTTTCATTTATTTTGTTCAACTTTCCCTAATAAATTATCTTCTGGTTTACGAAGAACTACATTGAATATGCTTTTAAATATGCAAAAATGCTTTTTGCACAGATTGAATACTAATGCAATGACTACATACAACCAAGTAGGTCCGTCCAGTATCTGAAAGTGTGGTAACAATTCTTTCTCCAATTGTTTTTTTAAATTGTTCATTTTAATTCTCTGCACCAACTTCCACTACTTTGTTTATATTCCATGTTAAAATTATTGTTTAATTTTTAAAGATGCACCATAAAATTACCTCTGTAAAAACTGCCAACTCTTCTTGGAACAGCTTCATTATACAGAATTCTATTTTCCTTAGTAGATGCTCCATCTTCTGTGTGTGGATCATGATATGCTCCACCCTAAAAAAAAGAACAGTCAGCTATTTAGAATGAAAGGCTAATTTACAGTGTTTTTAACTAACATACGTAAGGAATAAACTCTGAACTTTACTACAGACAGTTTTCAATTCATGCTATGAAAAACTGCCAGTCTCAAACCACATACCCCATAATCAATAAATATTTGGCTTTGCTGTTTGTTCACCTTTTCCAAAATGGCATTAACAAAATTTTGCCTCTTAATTGTAATTTTAAGGACTTTAGCATGATTCAGACCTCAGATTTTCGCCGTGAATGAAATGCAGCTGTAACATCTCTGGAGGAATCTTTTACTGGAGGTCTTGTTAAATTTGTTTCTGATGGAATCTGGTCACTCTGCTAATGGCAAATTTAAAAAAAATAAACAAGAAATGCATGTAATTTGTGATTATTGCAACACCAAAGCACTATCTCTTAACAGCTGTTATACAGTAGTACCTACAGGAGCCAATAGTCACAAAATCTACTATTCACAAACTAAGAGGCATCCCGAAACTAAGAAATGTATAAGCTGAAAGGTAGGTCAGACAGGATAGCAAAAGTACATCACCAGGATAGCACAAGTACATCACCATCTCTAATTAATCTATGTTTCTGAATAAAAACTTCCTGGAAGGTACGTCAAGCAAAAACTTAAGTACTCCCTCAGAAACCATCATATGCATGGAATTGGCCACCAAATATGACTTAATTCCTTTCTTAAATGAAACAGAAGCTGTAACTCTTTCTGCAGTAAGGACCAGATAAAATTCAATACTCGAAGACCTCCCAGGAAACTGGGAAACATTTCCTAAATTTGTTTTGTCTTTCATTAATAAAGATCTGAACTCTCTACCATCAATAATGTAACTCCTAAAACTGTACCGAGATGATGAATGCAACTAAAACAATGGTTTAAATCACAGTAAAATTTGAGTTTGATAAATTTGATTAAATTATGACTTAAGGCACTTTTTGTTGGTTAGCAGTTAAGTTATAAATATGAGACAATACTAGCAACTTGTACTTGAATTTATTCTGCCTACCCCTTTGTGTACATTTAACTTAAAAAGAGCCCTTAAGAAAACACTGTTGTAACTGAGACTTGGAAAGCTTAATGCACCGAATGCAAGTAAGATTTAAATCTAGCAAACAAAGAATGAGTTTCTTTAAAATGAACTGTTAGTGGCTTAATGGAATCTACAAACAGGGAAGTGAGGACATTTCACAAAATATGAGCACAGAGAGACAACAGCAGAGAAAACCAGTAGAACTGAAAGGAAAAATTTACTAGGAAAATAATACAGATTCTTTGACAACCTTTATAATATTCCTGAAGCTTTGAGTTCACTATGGCTGAAGAAAGTGAAATTTTCTCATTTCTAATACAGAATGTGGTAAGAAAAAGGGATAGGAAAGGATCAAAGAATGACTTTTGTAAAAATTCCTATGTGAGCCATACAAATATTCTAATTTTAATTCTGATTTGTGATTGGAAATAGTGAAAAAGAAGGAAAACAGATGAAAATGCTTTGCGAATGTACAGACTTGCCATATATTTCAGAAGATTATTTTTCCCTTCAGGCTTCTGCTGGTTGAAATATGGCTTTAAAACAATGAATTGAAGGCTTAAGTTTAAAAACCACTAACCAAAAAAGATAAAGGTGAATTCCTTACAAGTGATTAGACATTCCAAAGCAAATCACAATGAACAAAACTATAAGCATTAGGATGTATAACAATTTTTCTAATTGAAATAAAAAGTTTTTCAAGTAGCTGTCAAGAGACAAAGAATGATCTGATAATATGAAATAAAATTAAATTATCAATTTAGTATCTGCTAAATAATTCAGAAAGAGATCCAAATATTAAAGAATACAAGGCAGTGTGAGCTTTTATTACCAAAATGTCAAATGTTGCTATTACTGCCTTTCTACAATAATACTGTGAAGAAAAGTAACATTTAATTTGACTGAAATGAGAGAGAGAAAAAAATGACTAAGCACAAAAAATAAAATCTTATTTTAAAGCAGAGCTTCTATAATTCCTTCTAAGTAGCTATTTTTCTTTAAATTCTCTTCTTCTATGAGATTTTTTTCTTCTTATAATGAATAATTCACATAATTCTGAAAGGAAGAGACGTACTAAATACAAAAATAATGTATTAGTAATGTGCTTTTAAATAAATAAATAAAAATGCCTTGTCTATGCTTTCCTCTATTGAAGAGCCATCCAGTATGTGAAAACTCATTTTTTATGATTGCACACTACAAGTCCACTATGTGTATTTATTACGTAAACTAAAGAGGCAGAGGTTTTTTAGTCTTTTTCACTGTCATTTAAAAAATTTCTATAATATATGTAGCTCTGACTTTCTGCAGTCTGTCAACAAACCTGAACAAGAATTTATCTTTGAAGTCACTTTATGACATATACATGTATCAAAAAAAACCCCCAAACACTAATTTTATTTACATTTATCTTTTGGATCAATGGCACAGCAATCTAAGGATATCGGGACATTCATCTTATGCAAAACCTTACAAAATTCACAACTATTGTATTAGGAAAGTAAATCAACACTGAAACTGGCCCTTTCTCCACAATGATGAAGTAATACTCATAACAAAATATCATAAGATAAGTAATGACAGTCACTATAGCACTGCTAAGCCATCAGTTCACTGGTGGCTTCTCCCAGAAGAAATCTCTAGCCTGCTCTAGTCATTTATCCTAATCAAGAGGAATAGTGCAGTTTTTCATATCCCTCTAGCAAATCATGACATTTCATCAATAATGTCATGCTATAAACAAGTGAAAAAGCCCACTTCAAAATTTAAGATTGCTATTCAAAACGGAAAGACATACTAGTAAAGTTAAATAAAACACAAATGAGAAGGTTAATTAAGGAAAACCAATACAATAAAAATGACATCAGAAAACATAACAGACTAGGAACTACAAATTAAATGTTAACTTCGCAGGCATTTTTTCTGTTCTCACATTTCAGTACATTATAAAAATAGCTGTCATAGTCCAATCATTATTAGCTTTAACATGGTCTCATTTTGCACTCCAACTATTCAGCGTCTTTTTGGTTTTTTTTTTTGGTCTCACATTCCTTGTCTTACAGCACCACAGAAAAATAACTAAGCAAACAAACAAATAGAAGAGAGAAAGCAGGACACCGTCCCCACATGAAATAAGGAGAGGAAGGTAAGTCTTCCATAACAGGTGATATTTTGAACTAACCCTATTAGTATCTTCTGTACAGTCTTCTCGTGAAGAGCCAACAGACCTTGTGAGTGACTTATGCTGCACCTGTGGAGATAACAGTTGCAGGCTGTTTGCTCTGGCTGCCATCCCTTGCCCTACGCTTAAGCCACCCTCTGAGCCCTTTGACCTCACTCTGTCCCGGCTCACATACATAGAGTGTCTATGAGGGCGCTGTTGTGAAGAGAAAGGACTGGTATAACCTAGGCCATAGGAAAAAGATTCGTGCGGAGCAGAGAGCGAGTGGGAATGGCTTCCATCCATGTGATCTGGCAGTTTTAACTCCTCCATTGTTTTGGAGTGCCTGGTTGAAGGTCTTCGGGTGTCCAGGGTACCCTCGCTGCGGTTATTCCTCCCTGAAGGGCTGAGCAAAGTTCTGTTATCGCTATGGCGGGGAGCGGTCGGACTGGTAGGAGAGTTCAGGTCCATGCAGCTGGATGGAAAATAGCGACTGCTGTTTGGTTCTGCAGCCTGAGCCCTGGCCTCAGATAGGTTGCCCACGGATTTCGAGTCTGTCAGAACCCCGTGGCTCTTTGACTTTGTCCGATACGAAGGACTCTTAGAAGACTGTGGAATGGTATCAATGTAGCTGTGGCGACTATGCTTATCGCCGGGCTGCAGCGTCCCAGTTTTGCTCTGAGACGTTTCCAAAAATGAGTGCCGGTTCTGCTGAGATCTGGTGTTAGACTTCAGGTACTTTGTGCCCGGACCATCAGAACTTTTTGGGTCCACATTAAAATCAAATTCTGTTTTTGACTTTGCTTCCTTTGGACTAAGAAGATGTGGCATGTTATTGTTGGCTAGATCTTTATTGCCAGATCCAGGCTGGTTGCTTGATTTCTTCGCATGCATTGGGCTATGTGCAGCTGCAGAAAGGTTTCCATTTAAAAAGCTTTCATTTGCTGGAAGACCTTCTTCTCTTGGCCCGCCAACCCCTAGTGTCTGTATATCCTTGCTGTTTGATCTGTGGTGTGACTGCAAAGCAGAACTTTTGCTGGCTTGATTTCTACATTAAAATGCATAAAGAAGCATTAATATAGCAGATTATATATTCATGTATTAGTAACTTCAACAAAAGTGCACTCATTTTAAATGGGAGCTGCCATTTTATAACACAAAATTAGCAGTAAGATCAAAAACTTCTACTCATTGCAGAAACTGTGAACTAGGCATCAGAAGCTCCACTAGAATAACAGATTTGCAAGTGTCAGTATATTGCTGGTTTTTATTGGTTATATCCTCAGGGACAAACTCAATTTTAGTTAATGGATTCTGCTAGTGAAAAAAAAAAGAAATATATAAAATCCAATCATAAAAATTCCAACTTTCCAATATATATATTTAAATATTTCCCAATCTGTACTATATGTGTAATCGCTATTCTAAGCACTATTATGAAAATTAGATGTAGATCCACTGAAATAATTGTTAAACACATTCGGCATATCAAAGTTAAAGTGAAACAATCAAATGTGTCAATGCTGCCAAAAAGCCTTGTACAATCAATGCTCCAGGCTACATAATGTATGTCTGAGGTGGGTGGAGGCAGAAGAGAGAGAACAGAGGCTATCGTGCTGGTCAAAGCCATTCAGATGGACTGATTCCAAGGTCTGTGCAACCTGGTAAGCTCTGTAACACCAAATCAGGAATACCACAGGAACACTGACTTTTGCAGAACTCAGATTTTACAGAATGAAAGCAGACCTGCTCATGGGCCTATCTTGGCCCTGAAACAGTGCAGCTGCAACTGAGCAGTGCTGTGGCTATGCTTATTAGCCTTGATGGACCTAAGCTGGCTGAAAGCTGAGTAAATGTAATTATTTTTAAATCAATTCTATCATCATTTAACTCAGATATATTACTGAGCTATAAACTGAGAGCTGACTGTACCGATGAATTTGTACATTTGTTGATCTTATTAGAAACTATTATCGTATAATGCTAGTTATTTTTATATTAAGGATTTTTGTACTACCCACTTCCAGTGATCTAATGATATGCTCAATTACAATGTCAAGAAATAAAGAAATACCAGCACCAGTAAGTACGTATAGCAGCAGCTAAAACATTTTAGTAACCATTTCAGAAAAACATACAGGGTGCAGACGTCATGTTCCTAAATCTTAAAATGAGGAATGTTGTTTTATAAATCTCACTGGAAGAACTAAAGAAAAACCTGGCTAGGATTAAAAGACATTGTAGTTCTGCATACTTCAGAGGATGGACTTTAGGAAAGCTTCTGTCAAAGGAATGCGATGAGTCTCTTTGTACTAAAGTATTTTATCCACCAGTAAACCTGGTTTGTTGATGCACTGAGATCAGATGGCTTCTCTCAAGCTATGTGGGTCCAACAAAGGAGTTAGTGAGCAAATACATCCTGTTTTAAGTTCAAGTAGACTAGACTCAGTTCATAACCACAATTGCAGACAAAATTCTGTTTATCCTTACTGTGGAGCACGATCAATGAATTTTTCTTTTGTTTTCTGTGGTGACACCTCCAAACCACAGAATTCTTGCTATTGTTCAGAAAAGAAGCTAACTTTTTTAAGATGAGTAAGCCAAATTATTTTCTCATCATCATGTGAGAAAAAGCTTTTACTTTTTTTTCTCTTTTTGAATCCCAAGATGCATTCAGCCTGATGAATATAGCTAACAAAAAATTTCAGCTTGAATAACTGTAATAATAAAACTACGTTTGCCTTCTTTGTTCAGTGAAACAGCATGGAACAACATATACATTGCAATGCATTTAAACTACAAAATAACTAATTTTCTTGAAGATAATATTCTGTTTGAGCACTGTTGCAACTTATTCATTAGCACAGAAAATACCAGTGTTAAGGGTCAAATGACTACCTGTTTACCTGTTAGATAATGTGTTGCTGTCGACGTGGTAAGGCTTTCTTTTAGCTGACCGTGAAGGTGAGCTTCCACAGCGATCCAAGAGTCTTTGTGTTTGAAATGAAGGATGATTCAAACATTGTTCTGTCAAGTATCTGTCTGCTGGATCTAACTTCAGTAAGTTCTTTGGAAAACAAATCCCAAAGTTTAAATGTTAATATCTGTATTTGCGTCAACAACAATATAGTAAAATAAAGAACATTAATGGGATAGTTTTTTTAATCTACAGACTGTGATTACATGCAGGTGCTAAAATAATTTCATATTGCATTTAAATACACATGATACAAAATGATCACTTTTAAAAGTATTATATTCTACTTAAGAGATGGAAGGCATGTGGACTTGCTTATTATAAAACATACAAGATATATATATATAAAATGAACATAAGGGAACATACTCACATGGTTATAAATTTGTGCTTAATATGTTTAAAACACAAAAAGTTGTAAATGCAAAACTATACATGTTGTACCTATATACATATAGATGTTAAAAATATGTGATTTTAAACATACTTTTCAGGATATGCTATAAAACATTATTAAAACAAAGAGTATTGAATTACCATTAATATAATATAATGGTAAATGCCAATGAAACAGGCTTAACAAAAAGAACATGCATACAAGAGCAGTATTAAACGTTCAAAAATTCCTATACAGTTTATAATTTTTTTAAAAACATATACAAATATGAGATGTTTTTTTATTTCAGTAAAGGTTCAAGTCCATTCATGTTTTTAAAGCATCATCTGAACTGTTTACAACATGCTCAAAATAACATCTGCCTTATGATTCCATTAGATCAGCTGTGATTCTGAACATAGTGACTGGCACACAGAGAACACCTAATCACAAAATCAAAAAACAATTCGCAGATTATTTTAATAACTTTTAATGTTTCCTTGCAGAAATGAGACCATCTTGGAATGTAACACATCTTGGAATATTTGAGCATGCGTGACTGTCAGCAAGGAAGAAGGTTTGAATGGCCATTGAATAAAAAGAACAGCTCTTTTTTAAGGGCTGTATTGGTTGAATAGAGAATAACTCTATGCATATATATGCATGAGTATGCACACACACACACACACAAAAGCTACCTGTATATGCATTAACATAATATTCATCCACTTGACCACAAACTAGTTTTCCCTGCTCAGGATCCCTGCACACCAAAATGGAGAAAGTGTTTGGCATTCCTGTGCAGTTCAGTCACACAGTACGCAGTATCTGCCTTTCTCAGGTGACAAGCTGTGTACTGAATGATTAATTTCTTCTTTCCTTACTTTTTTGTGGCACTCATCACTCCTGTGATACAAGTAGCCCACTTATGGATGGTCATAAGGCTTACTTCAAGTGCCTTACAAACTAACTTGCAGAAGCTGGAGCACAAGCAAGGAAAACTAAAGCCCATACGCAATCATAAGGCTCAGAAACTAACTGGAATCACAGAGAAGTAATGGGGAACAAGGCTGATGGCTGGGTCATGGTCACTTATGGGTATGGCTGGCATCAGAAGCTAGGAGGTGGGGAAGAAGAGGAGTGGCACTCCATCTAAATTAGTTCCTAAATTGTACTGAGTGATAGTAGCCACTCACAATCTGGGTCAGGGTTAGAAGGAAAAACCAATATCTGCAGTGTTATGGCAGGGATTTGTTACCAACTATACATCTAAGATAAAGAGGATGACTCCTTCTACAACTAGAAGCAGAATATAGGTCCTCATCCTCACAGCAGACTTCAACTTAGGAGACTTCTAGACTATGTTGGTAGCATTTCCTAATTTATCTGCAGGAGAGGCAAACCAAACAAGAGTTAGTTGGGCTTCACTTTACTTGACTTGCTGTTCACTGACAGTAAACTACTGGAGGCTAATCTGATCGCAGAAGACAGTCTGAGATGTAGTAACCCTGAGAGGTTTACCATTAGGATTCAAATGAATGGTGAGACAGTTAAGCATCAGTAATAGGACCCACAAGTTTAAGATTGCAGACTTTGACTTCCGTAGGGGGATTCCAAGACGATCTCCTGAAAAACTGCCATCCGAAGACAGCTGTCCAAGAAAACTTCCTGAGAGTGCAGGAACAAAGCTTCTCACTGGGCATAACATTGCAAAATGTCAAGCATGCTCAGCTTGACAAACAGGGAGCTTTTTAATGAAGAAAAACTCAAAATAGGCAATATGTAAGAAGTTAAGCCAAGGACAAGACAGAAAGAGCATAAATGCATTGCTTCGGTATAATACATGACATGAGGAAGGCTGAAGTCCAACTACAGCTAAAGCAAGTGTGAAACATAAATGGATTATTCAGGTATTCTAGCAGCAAATGGAAGCCCTCCCCCCTCAAAAAAAAGGCCTGCTGATGAACAAAGGAAATAACCGAATGACAGATTATATGAATAAGCCTGAAATATTCAACTTCTTTTTCGCCCAAGTCATCATATTCAAATTTCCGAGTGCATGCTTGCAAAAGAACATGATTTGTGAAGGAAGAGAGGAGCAGCAAAGCAACAGCAGCAAATGAATGACTCTTCATTAATCTAGTCCAGAAATGCTCTCTAAATATTGATATATATAGAAGTAAAGATACATATGTCAGCGCTAGCTGACATAAATTGGGGTATGGGTTATTCAGTAATCTAGTAATCAGAACTGAGGTCCTTGGGAATGCAGATAACAAGGAACACAGCAACTGTGAATAATTGCCAGGCTGCCCAGTGTGTGGGGAAAAGAAAGGCATACAGCAAAATATGTAGAGCATTTGCAGCATGCAACTTAACCACAGGTGTTTTCTGTTCTTTTCTTCCAAGTCTTCTGCTCGTTCTTTAACAATGTTCCAACTTCTCAACTATGTAATGTAGACCAAACAAAATATCCCCTCTACAGAATCCCTGACCTTTCTTCACCTTATATAGAGTAATATGGACAAAAAAGTTTAAAAGAATTACTTGAATTAAAAAAAGAAATAGAATGGAATTATTTAGAAATCTATGTTTCCTTAACATTTGATGCTTCATTTTGCAATTTCAACTTTTATATCACACCAGAAGAACCCAAAAGACATTGCTATATAACATAGAAAACTAGTATAAAATGAAAATAAAAGCAATCCCCTGCATGTGTTATGTTATGAGGAATCATCTTGAAATTGCAGTTAAGCACTATGTGCTACTACAGTTTGAGTTACAGTTAATTATAATGCTGGGGGGAAAAAGAAAGTTTATGTGAGCTAGAAAATGGAATACATTTATATTCTAAACATAATTTTTGTCACTGTGAATCTCCTTCAGTTTACTGTGGCTGAAATAACAGAAGGATCGTACTACAGCTCACCGTAGTGAAGTTTTTACATTGTTCAGTCATTTTGAGGAAAGCAGGCTTTTTCTGGACCACTGCAAGGAACTCAGAACTATATCCTAGCCTGGCCACAGGGAACTAGCTGGATTGTTTCAAAACAGGACTGAAGAGCAACTTAAATAATGTGCTTAGTAGAGGTGAATGGTAACAACTAGATCAAAACCTCAGACAGGCAAAAAGTTTACTGTGCATCTACTGTCCATATCCTCACGCTTATTCAGAAATGAACAGTAACAACTCAGGTTAATCTAATCTTCATTCGCTGTGGATTTATCTAGATTTATTTCAGGTTGAGAGTTCATCCTCCTGCATTAGTAAGGTGACCTGTGCATCTGAATGGTTGCTGGTATGCATGCTGACACGAATGATGGCAGTTCTTTTGTCTGGAATAGACATTGCTTATCAAACCAGTCAAGTTTGGACAGATTCTCCTGGCATTTGCAGGGGATATTTTCTTGATTCCTAAGAAATATCAAGCCTGGCTATAGATGGTGGTGATATCAAAACATCTCAAAAAGGAAATTCACAAGTACTTTTAAAATGCACTCTATTAGGAAAGTCACATCTTTCCCTTTATATTACAGACAGAAAATAAATATATTTGTTTACCTTCATAAGATCAAGCAAAACACCACTTAAAATTCCCAAGTATCTTCTCTCTAAAGATTGTGGATGATTGACTGCAGGAAACTGTCAAAGTAATATACCATAAAAATATATTGAGAATGCAAATGAGGTATAGATTAATACAACATTTAAAAAATATAAACTATATAGTGAATAAAGGCATGTAACCTAACTGAAAACAGTTCATAATTTCTGAAACATTACAAAACATGATGAAACAAATAACTGCTGATGTATAATATGAATCTAGTCACCAAAGAAAGTATTTTTGATTAGTAGGGCAGCCAAGGAACCTCTATAAATTGACAAGTCATTAACTTAGATTTATAAATGTTTGTGGCACTATGATTGACATGAGGTGGGTGTTTTAAAATAGATTCAGAAATAACCTAGGTAACATCTACCCAAGAAAAGAATTTAGAAATAGTTATTAGATAATTTTGCTTTTGTGTGAATGTAGTAATAATTAAACACCAAAGATTAATTGACAATTCCAAAATGTTTATAAGCGAAAAAAACCTCACACAAACAGAATAGCAACAGTGCAGAAAGGTTTGGTATTACTCCTGTGATCACACTGCAGTAGGAATGAACTGGCAACGTCATGAGAAGTGCGCTCTGCTGGAGGACAGCTTTGGTCAACCACAGTCTTGACAAAACCAGGCAGTATTTGAAGCTAGTTCTAACTGTCCAGAAAGAAGAACAGGCAGGAAAGATTCAAGGAAGAAAAAAAAAAAATACAAAGCACGGGACTTTTTCTTGTTCTGTGTTGTTTGCTTTGTAAAAACGGCTGTAGTCAAATGAAACGAAAACAGTCTCTTTTTAATCAAATGAAAGAAAATCTGCTCAGTATATCTATGCTGTAAAATAACATCAAGTACAATGAGCTAAAAAGAAACAGGCATCAGAGATCCAATTCCAGATTATGGCATGCATGGAACAGACCTCAAACAAACAGCTAAACTGATTTCAGTAAGGTAACTTCAAATTTAAAAGCTAAACACATATAATTCTGGTGTTTTCAGAATTAGAAATTAAGGCAGGATTTGCAAGATGAGCACCAAAAAAAAAAATTTCATTTTTGCAACTTATGCTGTTTTTAGAGAAAACTGCACATCTGAATGCCAGGGAAACTTCAGGAAAAACTAAGCCAAACAATAGCCAGACAACTGATTGGTATTAATTACAGATCATCCAAAACAATGCAGCTGAGATCCAGATACTTCATTAGCAGTTCCTGGAGTTGTGGTATTTGCCTAATAGTATTCAAGTGCTTCAGTTGCAGCCTGACTTGATCTCATCCACATCTTGAGTATTCTAAAGGGCCCTCTTAAGTTAACACATCAAAGCTAGAATACAGGAAATATGTAATGGCAATCACATACCCGACACATAAAAAGCCACTTCTTAGTGTCCAAATGGACTCAAGTCATACATAAAACATACCCACATAAAATATTGAGGTATATCTAAAATCGCTGAAAATGTGAGATAGCTACAAAATCTGGGTCAGTGATTAAGACAACAGAAAAACAAAAAAACCCCAACAAATACGAAGATTAAAAAAACCATTCTATGCGGAAATTTGCCGTAGTATAAAAACATACAACAGCTATATGTTTGGTCTGAACTGTCAATGAAAAAGAAGTCTTAAATATTTTTATTCCTTTACATCCATTTCTGCATGTTTAAAGGATTCTTACAGCCAGGTGCATATATTTACATGTACACCTTCCTCAGAGTATGACTTCAAATCCTTGCTTTGAAGAGTAATCCAGCAGTACAAATATCCACTTCCAAACATGTATTTTGTTTGGAAGCAGAATGCATTGTACATGCAATGCACGTATGTAAATGTTAGACCACTATGAAGTGCAATCCTTTGTTTATACTGGCATTACTTTTCATAAATTACACTTCATGAGCTTTGAAGGAAAATGAAAGAACATTAGTTTGAATGTGTTTGTTCCTAAATAGGCTCTGTGTTTTTCTTTTTACTTTACTTTCTTTTAAAGTGGTTTCTTAATGACTGAAAAGTTTATTTTAATTATTTAAGTCCAAGTCTGCCTTGATGATCTTAGATAGCAGGTTAGGTGAACCAAGCTTTCCATTCTTCCTCCACTAGTTTACATAAAGAAAATAGATTTTCAGGAGGCACTAACTTGTTTTAAGTGCAGTATTCTTCTAAGTGAAACAAACCCTGTTCTTCACTCCATCCACATGGGCAAAATATTTCTTTTCTCACATAGAATGAACATAAAAAATCAAATTTTACCTCTGGAATGAATAGAGAAACATGAAAATGTGCCAAAGACATGCAATGTGTGATTGCCATTCCCTGGGTTTGTTCACGTCCTCCATCTTATTTGTAACTAACTTGTAGAATAATATTACAGCTCCACATTACCACTCACATTTCCATAAAGGTATAAGCCTGTAACTTCTTTCTGATACAAGATTATTTTCTTGGGTCTTCAACATACCATGGATGTTTCTTTCCTCAAACTGAAGAGATATAACTAAATACTACCTAATCCTCAAAAGTGATGAAAACAGTGTGTATATATGCAAGTGGAGGAAATAAGCAGGAATATGAAGTATGCAAATGTGGCATCTTTACATCTGTGCATGTAGAGCTGGAGTGTTTCAATTAGAATTTTTTAAATCATGTGCTACAATATGGTAGTACTTACAGTTATGAAAGAGATTCATAAAGCTGATAGATAACCACATGGATAAACATTTCCATTGAATGGGCTAGTTTTCATCATGCAAACACCCACTGCCAACTCATAAATAATAATTTACATGATCACAGCATAGCTTCTATTAGCTACAACTGAATATCTTCCACTATTAAGTGCTACTATTAAAAAAACACATCTGTACTTGAAATGTTGTCTTAAAACATGGAATATTTTTTTCAATTAAGTAACAAAAATCATATTCTGAATCAACATTTTTGTAGTATTTTTCATGTTTAAGTCCTTATTCAGACTTCAGTATTCCAAAAGTACTCTCTTTTAGAAGGCATATGTCACTTTACTGTCATTATCATTAGGTTATCCTGACTTCGCAGATGGGAATAAAAAGGCAGAAATATGTCTGAGGCCAAGTAATAAAACATTGATCCAGGATATGAACAGAGACTCATGACACTCAACCCTGTGCTTATCACATTAGGTCCATGCTGTCTTCTTGAATTACTTTACTGTAAAGCTACATAACAAAGATACTTCATTTTCATCATAAGACATTGCACAGCATTTAGGCAAGTAAGATTATACTGCACAACTAGAAGTCTTGTAAAATAATGCTGAAAAGAGAATATTTTATTTAGCTTGCAACTTGTAAAGCACTGCTTTAGAAGTTATAATTTTTTAAAAACAAAAAATCCTTTACAGCCCTGTTCTAAGCAGGATCAAAAACATACACTACCTTGGCAAGAAACACTTGCGTTACTGTTTTATAAAATCCTGTGATGAAGGGTGTGCAAGCTTCATCAAAGAACCCTAGGAATTAGCTATTGTTCTAGCTAAAATAACTAACCCAAAACCTTAATCCAACTATTAGTTTTGCAATTATCACCAGCTAATCATAATTTATGGCAAACTTTAATGTATTATAAGACAGGTGCACCCCTTTCTCATTCTCCGTTTTCTCTTTTATGGAGTAAAACTCCAATCTCCAATCTTTACCACAGATAAGGTCTCCTAAGACATTGTTATGTCTCTTTATTGGATTTTATATTAACAATTTCATATAATTCATCAAGATCATAAAATTCTGTAAGCAGCATTTGTTGAAGGAAAAAAAAAAAAAGAAGAAGAAGAGATAACCAAAATGGAATTACAAGACAACACAAGTAATTGTTTTAAATAAAAACACTGACCAGGCATTATTAAAGACAACTGAGTTTTTTAGAATATATATATTCTGTCTGACATTTTGCCATCTTAAGCAGCTTCTCCACACTAGCAAACTTCTGTTTAATTGATGGCATTATCAAACTCCTGAAATGGGAACAAGCAGCTTGCTTACTTGTATAGCTTACATTAATTCTCCAGGAATTCAAGTAAAAAGGCAAAAAGCTCCCCTATCATCACAACAGCATCCAAGGCCCAGGTTTTGCCATCGTAGCAGGCTTAAGAGAGCTGGCACAAATTTTCCACACTTCAAACATACAAATGTGCCACTAAACTTCACAGTGCACACCTAGCACAGTAATTTCAGGCTTGGCATATTCACTAACATTCAAGACAAGAAAAGTCAAAGAAATAGATCTGTTTAAAATCAGCTTTTAACAGCAAAATGAACTTACTTATGCTTCCCAATACTGGTATAATTGGAATTTAACTTTGAATTATGAACGCTCCATGATCTAAATATCCTGTGCTTGCACAAAAAGCACGCAACAGAAAACACAGCACACACTCTAAATGAAAATAACCTTTACGACAACAACAGTGTAAATATCGTGTGAGTAAATTAATAAAAAGAAAAGAACAAAGCTATCCCTTACCCTCAGTCCATGGAAGCGTGGGTTGCTGTAGAAGAGCTTCATCTGCTCAGCTGGCAGTGGGCCTAGCACCTTCTGAATGGTAAAGAGCTGGTCAATCTCGCTCTCCCCTGGGAACAAGGGCTGTCCGTCACTCAGCTCACCCAGAATACATCCCACAGACCACATATCCACAGCCTTCCCATATGGGGCTCTAAAAAGTGAACATAAATTGTTTTTCACTCACTGATACCATCTTCTTACAAAGCTGTTTTAATTTACTGGCTATGTTTTCCACGGCCTGCTTCCTTACAGCTCAGAAAAAATAAAACCTGACATTAAAGAAGCAATCTCAAATATCAAGTTCTCTGTTTCTGCACTGGATTGCTTTGACATACTGCTGCTTGAAAAGGCAGGACAAGAATTCTTAGGTACCCCCAAGGATTCAGTTACCTTTTTTAAAACAACAATAACACACATACAAGAATAACCTTTTTAATGAAGATGCAGTTATGAAAGTTAAACTAGTACTAACTTCTTTTTTTCTCCAGAGGTTAATGACAGTGTTGTATTTCTGCACTGCATTGCTTTATTCCATTGTATTTATTAGATTGATAGACACACTGGATCTGGCCACTGAGGGGATAAAAATATAAGCAATCTTGTTTCACCCTTCCTACAGTGAAGTTTTAATTAGAGAGAAAACAGAAGCCCCCGAAGCTATTCCTGAAACTATTCATGAATTAAGAAACACAGGTGAAGACAATGAAAACATCACAAAGCAAGGATTTCCTGTTCTGGAGCAAAGCCACATGTTGGGATCTGGAGAAAAATTTCAGGCAGGTGGTCTCTTTGCACGCAGCCAATGTTGTGTGGTGGGGTGGATGGCCCTCTGTATTTCAAAATGCCACTGACAAAAGAAGCAAGTTCAGCAATTAAGAGATGGTGGGAGTTCAGTGGAAACAAAACTCAATGGCATCTGTGTTACACTGGAAAGGCCAGTTTCTCAAGACTAGAGAGTATTTAAAGGAAGAACAAGTAATAAGGATACTGAAGTCAGAAGAAATGATGGGCTTGCAGATGGTTTGTAAGATACATACACACACATAGGGTAGAAAATCATAATACAGAGAATAGATGTTTGTGTGAGGAGTAGAGGGTAGTGAACTACTTCAATTTTCAATCAAAGGCATGAATGCTGAAGAAACAGAATCTGAGGATCCTTAAAGTGAGTCAATTTAGGATATTCTGTGAATAATTAGCTATTTCTTTCTACTTGTGAAACTTGAACTTTATTAAAAAACAAAAACATTCCCGTGATACATTTTAAAATTTAAAAAAATTAAAAATGTGTTTGATAACAGATAAATGCTTAATAATCCTGGGGACTCTGAAGTAGTAAGTATGCTTATAAAGATTTGGTAAAAAGTAGGGGAAGGAGATTTCCCTCTTCCCCTAAGAGGGTTGTGAAATAAGAGCAGAATTGCCAAGAAACAGACATCAAGTTGTGCCAGAAAAACTTCGCATTAAAAACACACACAAGCAAAGCTGAAGTCATATTCATGAAATACATGTACCCCTCCCCTTCCTCTGTAAGCTAATCAAATCTAGTCAATTACACACTGAAATGATTCCTGCTACATTTCCTCTGTTAATGAAACAGCTTTGAAAACTGCAGGCCAGACAAATACCATGTCTGCCAAGCTCTTCATGTCTTTCCTCTAAATCACTAATTACTAATACAGACAAAGTGTAAAATGCTGCAACAATGTAAAGACCATGACTGATGTTTTCTTTCCAGCTAGTAAGTGTATGTGTACACATATGATAGACACACACTTTGCTGTAAATTTTATCATTTAGTTTTCTCCAAAATATAGAAAACTGAGCCTTGCATTTTCTTTTATTGGCAACTTTAACACACTATTCTGCATATAACAACACAACTACATCTCAATTTGATTAAGATCAGCACAGCTCTGGGAATACTTGTACGACTTCTTGACAGAATACTTATTGTTCAATGCCTTACCTATACAAGAAATGTCTATTCCCTGGTTCAAAGTTAATCAGCGGTTCAAACAAAGACCTGTTTCTCAGCAGCATGAGACATTTTGCTTGAAGAATCTTAGTGACTCCTAGAAATACTTTTCTGATTGCTCCTGTGGCTGCCAATTCCTTACTTATAAAATACGCATACATAAATACATATATGCTATACAAAAAGGAATTGTATTTTAATGGAATGCTCATGTATTTAGAAAAAGACACTGTAAAACTTAATACTAGTGGAAAGATTGCAAACAGTACATTCCCCAGTACTTTAGTCTCTTCTTATACTTCTGTATCGCATGAATTTGTTCATGCAGTTCAACCTTGTGAAGTAGTAAAACGCTAATTTTACAGATTAATAAAAGAGTGAAATTAAATTGCTACTCATGCAATTACTTCTTCCACAGGCAATGTCACACTAACTTCTGAGTACTTAATTAAATTTGCTCAAAGAGCTTCCTTCAACAAATTCTTCCTGACCAGTTACAGAAACATAGACTATCACAAGGTGGAATCTACTCAACAGGGATCATGGAGTCCAACTCCTGGCTTCACTCAGCACCACCCAAAATCAAACCCAATGTCTGAGAGTTTTGAACTCCAGCACTCGGGGCCGTGCCCACAGCCCTGTGCATCCCGTTCCATGCCCACCGCCCTGTGGTGCAGCCCCTTTCCCTGAGCCCCAGCTGCCCTCCCCTGACACAGCTCCATGCCGTTCCCTCGGGCCCTGTCGCTGTCACACAGAGCAGAGCTCAGCGCTGCCCCTCCGCTCCCTGTGAGGAGCTGCAGCCGCCATCAGGCCTCCCCTCAGCTCCTCTGCTCTGCGCTGAGCAAACACAAGGGGCCTCAGCCACTCCTCATACATCCTGCCCTCCAGACCCTTCAACATCTGTAATTTGTAGCCCTCCTTTAGTCACTCTGTAATAATCTTATGTCATTTGTATATTGTGGTGCCCAACACTGCACCCAGTGCTGGAGTTGAAGCCGCACAGCGCAGAGGAGGACAATCTATCTGCTTGTCCGGCTGGCAGTGCTGGGCCTGGGGCACTCCAAGGTACACTGCTGGCTCACATTTAACTTGTTATTAGCCAGAACCTTAAGATCCATTTCCTCCAGGATGCTCTCCAGACTCTTGTCCCTCAGTCTGTAAATCTATCCAGTTACCCCAACCAAGGTGCAGAATCCGTCACTTTCTCTTATTAAAATTCATGAGGCTGGTGATCGCTCAGCCTTCTAGTGTCAAAAGATCTCTCTGCAAGGCCTTTCCATCCTGCAGGGAGACAACAACTCCCCCCAACTTAGTATTAGCTACAAACTTAGTATGCCTTCAAGTTCTATATCCAAGTAATTTATAGAAACATTAAGGAGAACTAGCCCTAAACTGGAGACCTGGGGAACCCCACTAGTGACTGCTCATCAACCTGGTGGAATCTGGTTTACTATAATCCTTTGAACGCGATCTGTCAACCAATTGTTTACCCTCTGTATTACGTTTCTGTCTATCTATGTGCTACAGATTCTGAGCAGAAGGATACTGTGAAAAACAGCATTGAAAGCTTTACTGAAATTCAGAAAGATTACATCAATTGGTTTCTCCTGTCAACTAGGTGGCTTACCTTGTCATAAAAGAAAATTATGTTAAACAGGAGTCTCATTTTGTGAACCTGTGTTGGCTATCACCCATAATCACATTGTCTTTCAAGAGTTTTTTGAAAACTCTCAGAATAATCTCTGAAATATTACCAGGCACTGAAATGAGAGTGACAGGCCTGAAATTACCAAGGTCTTCTTTTTCTTCCCTTCTTGAAAACTGGAACATATACCAGCTTCCAACTGGGACCTCTCCAGGTTCCCAAGACCACTGAAAAATAATTGAGAGAGGTCTTGCAATGACAACAGCCAGCTCTTTCACTACCCTGGGATGAATCTCATTGAGTCCCATACACAGCTAGAGCAACAAATCCCAAACAGGTTCAGGGCTTGCTGGGAGTTTATCATTCCCACAGACACCAAAGATCCCAGAGCCCATTACTGATGTTAAAGACAGAATTGAAGAAGGCATATATGTTTCTGCTTTTGTGTATGCCCCTATTAATGAGGTGACTATCCTCATCAAGGAAAGGAACAATGTTATCTCTAGTTCTCCTTTTGCTTTTAACATATTTTAAAAAGCCCCCTTTATCCTTTCCCATAGTTCTGGCCAGCATCATCAACTTTAATTGAGCTTTGACTGTGTGAATTATCTCCCTACACTAGCAAACAGCATCTCTATAGTTCTCCCATGTTGCCTCACCTTGTTTCTAGAGTCCATGCACTTATTTTTTCTGTCTAAGCTCAAGAAGACGACCTTTGCTCAGCCAAGTCAGCCTTTTCTCCCACTCGCTTGACTTGTGACACTTTTAAATTGCCCACTCCCATGCTCTTCAGAAGTAGTATTTCAAAAACGTTATAAAGCTAGGAACCTTCTTGACCATTTCAACAATGGTGGTAAAAGGTAACTAAGAATGAAAATAAAATCAAAAGATGAAAAGAACTAGGAATGTAGCATGATGAAGGTTGCACTGCTATATTCAACATGTGGCAGATGAAACGAATGCTTCAGACAGGACAACAATAGAAACGTATTTTGAAGAGCCTATTAAGAGGTGCATCTCAAATAAATCTGTGATAATTCAGTTTTCTTTTAGTCAATTAAATACTGTTCAGCTCAAGACAGATGAATATATATATAACTGATTTATGCTGACTTAATGGGAACGAATGAGCAAGTATAAATGAAAATCTGGAATTCTCCTGAAATCTTCCCTTTAAACTAACTACAGTTCCCCACTGACAAATTTTACAAAAGGTGCTTGAGAAAATGCAAAGAATCAAGATTTATCATGGCTGTTTCACAAACTATACTTACCCAAGCAAGAGTTCAGGTGAGCGGTACCACCTGGTAGCCACATATTCTGTATAGTTAGCATTGCTTCCTTCAGAAAGATTACGGGCAAAGCCTGTCAAAGGAACAGTGGGAAAGATTATATTCCATTTTAAATAAAATGGGCATATCATCACTGATTTTGGAGTTAAGAAGTCATACCTATTTAAACAGAAGTAAATTGTTTACAAACCCCAGTGCAGAATGTCTGCAAGGATTGCTCATCTACTGAAATGCAACCTTTCATAGATACAACAGTGAAAGTCAGAATGTCTGCATTAATGACTACTTTACTTGTATACTGTCCTCAGAAATCTATGGTGTTTTACCATTATCCTTGCTACGTCACCATAATAGAAAACACTGAATAAAGTACTTGCCAGAATGCCATACAAGCTATTGAACAACTGCCACTAAATTTCACTGTGAGAAGCTATTTGCAGAAGAGGATTCATAACAAACTTAACGTATGCATGGAGAGTAGACACTTCAGTCACTGATCTTAACTACTACAGTCTCACTGAACTCCATTTTTTTCAGCTGGTAAAGAAGATACATATAATTCTCATGGAAGGACACTTCCTCCCTGACTCAGCAAGGAATGGGGCCATTTCTCTAAACTTATAAAAGGCAGGACTCCACCAAAGACCAGCAAAACTGTTTTATATATACATTTGTGGATATAGTCTACCTAGACTTTATTAAAGCCTTTGATACTGTCTACCACAGCATTCTCCTAGAGAAGCTGGTCACAAGTCATGTTCCCCAGTGGTCAGTACTAGGGCCAGTCCTGTTTAGTATCTTTATTATCTGGACAAGTCAATTGAGTGCAGCCCTAGTAAGTTTGCAGGTGATACCAAGCTGGGAAGAAGTGTCAATCTGCTTGAAGGTAAGAAGGCTTTATACAGGGATACAGATAGGTTGAATTGATGAGCTGAGGCTAGTTGTACGAGGTTCAACAAGACCAATTACTAAGTCCTGCACTTCAGACACAACAATCCCATGCAAGCTACAGGCTCAGGGCAGAATGGCTGGAAAGCTGTGAGGAACAGAAGAATCTGGAGGTATTAGTTGATAGCTGTCTGACCATGAGCACCCAGGTGAGCAAAAAGGCCAATGGCATCCTGGCTTGTATCAGGAATACTGTATTCAGCAGAACTAGGAAAGTGATCACCTTCCTGTATTCAGACCTGGTGAGGCCGCACCTCAAGTACTGCGTTCAGTTCTGGGCCCCTCACTACAAGAAAGGCATTAAAGCGTGAGAGTATCTTCAATGAAGAGCAACAAAGCTGGTAAAGGATCTGGAGTGCAAGTCTTTCGAGGAGCAGGTAAGGGAACTGGGATTATTTAGTCTGGAGAACAGGAGATTCAGGGGAGACCTTATCACTATCTACAACTGTCTGAAAGGAAGTTGTAGTGAGGTGGGCATCAGTCTCTTCTTCCAAGTAACAAGCAACCAGATAGGAGTTCATTGCCTCAAACTGCACCAAGGGAGGTTCAGGCTGGATATCAGGAAAAATTTCTTCTCAGAAAAAGCAGTGAGGCACAGGCTTGCCCGGGGAGGCGGTACAGTCACCAACCCTGGAGATGTTCAAGAAATGTGTAGACGTGACACTGAGGGATAGTTTAGCAGGCATGGTGCTGATGGATGATAGTTGGACTAGATGACCTTTTCCAGCTTTAATGACTCCATGATTTAAGTCACTCCGCAAGTGTCAGCTTCCCACCTGTTTTAGCATCATATTCATAACAAACTCCCAATGAATTGGGATCAGAAAACAAGTTCAAATTAACTTCCTCCTCCACATAATTTTCTTAAGAATCAAAAAACTGTCGAGTTATTTGCAGTTATACCAAAACTTAACTTCTGTCTTAAGGAAGAAAAATTAATAAGACCAACAGAGAGAAGAATGCATATACTAGAAAACACAGAAGTAGGAATGCACTGTATTTTGTTTTCATTCTTCTCCGTTCATCAAAAGTTAACACCAAAGTAATGATATTACTAGATTCTTCATCTAGTTCTTCCAGTACTCTAGGGCAGCTGCTAGCATTGTTTCAGTAAAGTGTCAAGCACCTAACTATCAAATAAGTAGAGATGGAGGTCCGACAGCTTTCAGCAGCAAGACTCTGCTACAGACTTAGAGCTCGAACTGAGACAAATTTATGGGACTAAAAAGCGGAAGCAACATTTTCAAAATGCTTCTTTAACTGGAATGTGCTACCAAAAATCAGTGGAAAATTCACTTCAGTGAAATCACCAGGAATCTTTCCACTGTTGCATGAGCAATGAAGAAAGAATAAAAAGCTCAAGATCTTTCAGAGATACAAGGGATGATTTCACTTCCAAAATAAGTGCTACATAAATGCTATATTATTTTTTTCTTTATTTTTGAGCTCTCATGCAGAAGCTGCCAAAAAATGATTTTCCCACACAGTTATGCTTGTAAAGCTGTCATTTATTTATTGATTTGTTTTTAGTATTCCAAAAGTGTCACACTTGGCAGCATTGGTATGAAAGATCCTAGAGCTCTGTGGTTACACTAATTTACACCAACTTGCAGTAAATGTTTGGGTGCAGAGACTGTTTTTTCAAACTACCAGTCTAATAATAAAGTTGTTACTGATACAGGTTACAGCTGTTACTTCTTTTAAGACACCTCTCCCTTTTAAACATTAGTAAACAGAAAGGCATATACAGTGAAGAAGAGATATTTCAAATTTATCCCAAAACAAGAATATTTTTCATCTGTTCCCATAGTTTTGCTAAAAATTATGGATCCCACTAAAAAACTTGAAATTATTATTTTTTAATTTACTTAAAGAGGACATTGGGATTGGATAAATTTCTAAATATTACTATATTTAGAACTGCTAGGCAGCCCTGTTTCTGTTTGAAATTATGCGATCTATCTCATTAATCTTGTCAGTGGAAATTCTTTCATTCGTGATTTTAAACATGAGAAGAAAATCAGGAGCCATCGTGAAGAAATGGGACAGCTAGAACAAACAATGGGAAACCTCCTCCTGAAAGAGAGGAGAAAGATACAAGTGCCACATGATACAAATGATCACATCGCACAGTCCATGTGCTAATGTACAGCACAAGCCCACGAGCCCAGGTACACCATAGGAATCAAGTCAAGGATGGAGCCTTCCTCCAGGCCACTCCATCGGAACCTGGTCACAGTCAGCAGCTGCTGTGTATAGGGAATCAACAGCAGCTAATGTAATCTGAAAAAAAGAAAGAATCAGCAGGCCTCAACTTTGATAGATTAGGTGTAGAATGGAATTCTGTCAAGACATGAAAGGAAAAACCACAGGCTTCAGCTGCACCTACATATTGTCATGTGATGTAGGAAACCATTTTATACATAGACTACTGCCCTGACTCTGTTATCATGTTGAGAGATGGTAGGTAGAATTGGTAATTCAAGAAAGCACAATGCTTTCTAACAGCAGAATTGCTCATTCTGTGGCCTAGCTAGTATCCAGCCTCCAAATTGTGCTGAGGTAATTGGAACAATTTTTGACACAAAAATAAGAGAAAGTAATTAGGGAGAAGACTTGACCAATCTTATCAGTGAGAAGGAACAGAGTAGAACATGAAGATGGAAAGTGGCTTGAGTGAGAACAACTTTGAAAGCAATAAAACTTGCAAAATTATTTAAACACAAGAAAGACAAGCAAGCAAACGAAGACATGTCATGAAAGGACTTCAAATAACTCAGAAGGAGAAGACATTAAAAGGCTGAAGGTGTGAGGGGAAAAAGCAGTTCATAAGATAGTCCTTTTCTTACAGAGAAATAAGACGAACTTAATCAGACAATATAAAGCATTCTAACATTAACAGAATAGTTCAGTTAAAAAGGACCTTCAACATTTAGTCCAACTGTGCAACGACATGCAAGGTCTTAACTAGGTGCCTAAGAACACCAGGAAACCTCCATTACTGAGATCGTAAGAGTAAGTTAAGCAAATGCCTGTCACGAATGACACAGACTTAATCATTTCTCTGAGTGGGTGGAAGAACTAGAGAATTTCTTGAGGTCTTTTCCAGTCGCGTTTCATGATTTTTATGCTTATGCATCATAGAGAGATAAAGAAATTTTTAAAAGAAGTAATTTTGAAGTCCTGGTTTTGAAAAAGCAAGCGTACTAGTCAGAATGCTTAACAATTTCCAACAATTCAGATGCATCTGTTCTAACTGGCCTTTTGTGCTGTTCTCTTTTCCCATTTCTATTGGTAGAAATCACGCCCACACAACATGTGTCCAGGCAAGCACCACACCACCTCATTTTTTCTAGCACGATATGTACAGAACATGGCACAAGGAACTATCTTGCTAAAAACTTACCAAATTTTTCTGTTCAAACTGTTTTGTCCAGTGGGATATTCCAAAACACACAATTACTTCAAATCTGCATTGGGATGGATGTATATATTTTTTATTTGTTGTTGTTATGGTGAGGAATGTGGCACTGTATGCAATTAGTATTTGTGCTCCAAAAAATGAAGCAAGCTAGGTAGGCAGGTAGCAAGTTATGTCGTATTAAAGGGCAAATTCTGCCATCCTCATCTATATACCTGCAAGAAACTCTTGTAGCTAACATATTTTTACAGTAATGACTTAAGCTGACTACTAATGTTAATTAGCAGTAAGGCTAAAAGGTAAAATGAATCCCAAGTATTAAGAGTTGTTTTGCATTTTAAATTCAGCTAAGTCTGAAACTATAAGCAAAATTCAAACAAATCCACATGAACAACAAAACCAGGACGCCTCTGCGGTTGTATTTCTTTTCCAACAGCAGAAATACGATCTGGCTTGAAGATGTGACGTGAGCAAGCCTATGGACTAAGCACATCATCTCTACTGGCAGAACTCACTTTATCATTGGCAAGAACAAACACGATTGTATGATTTGTTTGGCTTTTGATTTTTCTTTAGAATTCCTGCAGGAAGGCTGCTGACAGGAGTTCAGGAGCACAAAGGGTTGCTGGCAAATGCCAACTGTGCTGGTGAGCCTTACCCTCAGGAGGACAAAGACAGAGGGAGGAAGGGAGCGTGCCTATAGGGTGTTCCTATTCATGGCACTGTTAGTCTTGATTGAAGCACATGTTGGTCTTGGGCCAGTGCTGTTTGCTGATTGTTTGCTAAGCTTTCTAAGAGGCAGAGAGGCCCAATGCACATGGTGCCAGCCAGAGCCTGGGGCTATGGGGAATGCTGAGAGGAAAGAGTAGGCAGGGGAGGGCAGCCACAGCAGGGCTAGCTGTAGGCTCCTGGCGGGAGATAGGGCCAAGGAGCCACAGGCTCTGGACACCAGCACTGCTGTGCTCTGTCAGATTTATGCACTTCCTGGGGCTGCAAAATAAACAGCCCTCGATTCAAAGAACTCACATGGACTGGATATTCTAAGGCTTTTCCTGGAATGCTTGCTGGTTCTGAATGTTTAAACAAAAATGCCTTTAGGATTGAAAGCAGCACTGCAATATACAAATGTTTGTTCTGTTTTCCCAAAAACCTACTGCAATTTATTTATTTGTTTTTTGAATGGTTCCTCTTTTCATTCAAAATTGCAGGGGTATGAAATGACAGCTTTCAAAGTGACCTTGGGCAGCTGTGTGGAACTGGATTTCATTTTACAAATCCAAACTGTACGCTATTTAGAGTGTTTTATTCTGTGTTTATGTAGCATATAGAAGAAAAATAGAGATTGTTGGAACAGTGTATATGCCACCCTGCTGTCTTCTGGGGATTACTCACATAGGCAATTTTGTCTTGTTCTTGGGTGCTGCTTGTTCAAAGCCTTAGAGCTGACATTAAACAGTTATTGATAAGTAAGGAATTACAAAGTTAACAGCACATGTACACCTCTGACTCTACCCTTCCAACTATTCAGTCACTAATCACATGTTGACACAATCTTCTTTGATTAGTACAATAGAGGATGATCTATAACTATACGCCTAACAATGTAAGAAGTATATTAACATATAAGAATAGTAAATGCCTTTATGAAACTGGAATCTTTTCTTAAATACATAAGCTAGATAAATACACAGTTCTGCCAGTCTTCTAATCAGTTTATCACCTGCGCTGTTCTCACCTGAGAGCCAATAGCAGTACTAGTAAATCCTTGCACAACACAAGACGAGACAACAAATGCAGCATTTCTCTTGACTTAGTAAGATGGTATTTCACAAATTAAGAGCATAGATATTTCAAATTAAAGTGCTAGCCATAAGCTTAAATAAGTTATCAGTTCTGACCATGAGAAAGGGTTTTCAACAGCATGCGACGTAGAACTTTCAAGAGAATGAGGTAATGCTACATTCCAAGAGATTTTCTTTAAAAAGGCAAGAAGTCTATCTATTGAACTTACCAAAGTCACACAGTTTGAGAACATCATTGTGGCTTATTAAGAGATTCTCTGGTTTGATATCTGAAGTATCAAATAACAAAGAAAGAAAAGATAGCTGTTAACTTCTCTATTTAATTTTGAGCTGTCAATAACATTATTGCATAACAATATATTTAGATGTATTCATACAACCATAAACAAAGCATTACAGGACCAACTGCTCAATAGGCTTCTAGCAGTTCTAATTGTGGATATGCAGAATTTATTTTCTGCCACGTGAAGTCTTTTCAAGTGTTTCTCAACAAAACAAGGGAAGATAAAAGGTGTTTAGAGACATACCTAAAAGAGCAAAAGAAAACGCAGAAAAGCGCACGCTGCATGATAATACAATAACTTGTCATTTAATTATCCAGTTAACTAGTAAAATGTTTTGTGCTTTCTTGTTGTTTCTATAATTATCCAGTTAACTAGTAAAATGTTTTGTGCTTTCTTGTTGTTTCTATATAAAGAGTGTGTTTTCTAGTTCTGAGCCTGTTTCTTATTCCTATATGGATACTGTGGTATCTGTGTATGGAATACTTTTTCAAACTGCTTTACAAAATATGTCAAACTGTCGCCTATGTTTTGATCAGTCTCTAGTAAAACAGTATGTTGTATGAGAATTCTAATTTATTGGGACCATTAGAAATGTTACTCTTGCAAAGCCATAAAGCAAAACACAATTTTATTAAGTAAGGATAAAATACATAAAACCAGATAAAAATCAAAGAAAGCAAGTACTATAATGGCTTAAAATTTAGAGGGAGCTGAAGTCACAGAAGTTGGGAAGATATGCCTTCAGCAGAAGTAAAACACAGAAAAACAAGCTTGTTCTGGGTTACTTTTCTACTAATATTTTATCAGATTCAGAAGTGAAATAATTGAATTCTCAGAAATGTTTAAGAATTCCTTTTCCTTTGGCAACGTTTGTACTGCAGTTTTACTTCACTGTGCATTTAATACAATCTTTACTTGTACACCAAAGACAGTGGGCAGCAAGTTTATATGTAGATGAATCTAGTTCTAAAGAAATTTAGATGGCTTAATACTCAGCGAAATTTACAGATTGTTTTGCTGTTGCTGACAAAGAGTAATTGCTTATATTTATGTTAAATGCAAATTCCTTCTAGCTGTAACGTCCTTCCCTGTAGAAAGTAAACTCTTTCCAGAGCTTATTCCCATGTGCAGAACTACACACTCACCTCTATGGACGATATCATTCTTATGACACCAATGAATTGCTTTAATTAGCTGGTAGATATAACTTTTCACTTTTTCTGGTGGAACTCCATTTGGCATTTCTTCTAGCAATTCAAGCATATTCTAAATGTTTAAAAGACATTATTTAAAAGAGTTATATTTTAGTAGCTTGAACATAACCCATTTTCAGCCTTCTGAAGAAACAGAGTTACACCACCGAGTCTGGCTATGAAGAAAAAAAAAGTAGTTTAACATTTAGGGAGTGTATTTTAATCATAAACATACTACTAGCTAATTTCATTCTAAAAAAGCATTTGTGAAGACAATTAAAGATGCAGATGTACCACAATTCCTTAAAAGGCTGTCATCAACTCACTTAAAATTTCTAAAAAGTCATTTCCATACAAAAAGCTGCTCCAACAAATAGCAGTTTACTGGGGTTGTGTGAAAAATTAATTAAGTACAACATTTTGTAAATATCCTACTACACCTTAACATACTGTTTTCTTAATTGTTAAGTTAGTTCTATGTCTTTCACATACCGGGCTGTGACTAATCACAAACCATGTCTATACATGAATGGGTATACCTAAAGCAACATATTACTGCTAATGAGGTAACAGAGGTAACAATGCCTCACGGGGACATAAATAGTAATCTGTGGAATATCCCACGGATACGCATCTGCTGTATAAACCTTAGATATCTTAGTTACTGTAGTCCTATGTCCACATTAACATTTTATGGATATACTTAGCTAAAAATTAAATGGATTGTTTTAACTGGTGATGAACAGTAAAAACTGGCTAGTTTCCTCTTTGAGAAACAATATTTAGATTTCTATTATGTCAGCAAATATCTCCAATTTTGCACAATTTCAAGTACAGTGGAGTTTGTACTCTTAACTGAATGAATAATGGGCAGCAGCAGCCAACTTGAAAACAAAAAGAATCTTATTTACTGAATACTGAAATGGAAATAAGTATTTTGGCTACATCATCTTACACAACTCATTGTATTAAGAATTTAAGCATTTGAACAGATTTTTCATCTAAAATAATTTCTCTCTGACAAATGTTTTCTTTAGTCATGTAATAACACTTGAGATTTCTCTTGGAAGATATTTTAATGAACATAAGTATAAGACAAAACAAAAGGAGACTTTGAAAATATTTGGAAGTATTTCTGAGTTTTGCAATCTATGAACAAATATTGGAACTTATGTGCTTGCAAGCAAGTTTCCTTAGAAATGCAGCTCAGACCTCAGAAAAGGAATTTTCTGTTAAGGAACTGTGCTGATTTTTGCTAGGTTCTCGTCTACACAGTGGCCTGTAGTGCTGAATAAGAAAGTCAAGAAGTTAGTATTATAAATATGAAAGAAAACAGTAGCATCAACACAGTGAGACCGTACATGAAAACACTAAGGGAAATAGATTAAAAAAAAATCAGACTAAATGTGAATTTCAGTAATCTGGAACTGAGCACTGCAGGGCTAAGGTTCTGTAAATAATACATTTTTTATCACCAGTTAAAATAAAAATTGGGCCTACTGTACCATATTTTATTTAATTCATCTACTCTTTCTCATTTGAAAATACAGAAATCATCCTGGTCTTTAGATTTGAACGACATACATTTAGGAGTGCCCGTGGAAATTGACACACCTGAAAATGCAAAACATTAGTGGACCTCAAAGTTGATATGAAAGATCACCTTTATGATGTGGAAATGGCAGTTTAACAGAAATGACATTAGGCACATGATGTCCATCTTTATCATTATATTCCTTTACTCCAATTTAATAATGTTAGATATTGCAGCCAGGTGTATTTACCAGCATTAACATTTTTTGAAATATGCTCTTATTATGCATTTAGGTGTCTTTTATTTTTGTGTTATTTCAATTCACTACCAGCGTGAGCTTAGTTAATTCAACTATAGCATCAAATTAAATATATGTCCTAATTGGTGAGTGATCAAACACATGTCACATATCTGGATCACAAGGAATATGGATGAAACAAATCACACTATGGATGTTATGGCTAAATAAGGTCTACCACATCATGAGTTGCTAATCTGGTGAAACACAAAACTGTCTTCTGCCTAGCTGTGGCCTAAAAAGGTCATCTCACATTATACAATGAAGTTATACCACACAGTAAATTGTAAAGTACTTACAGGAAGAAACCATTTACACAAGACTGAAATGAGCTGACTGAAAAGGAATAGCACTCAGCTGTATTACAAAATCACACTGGCAGGTTAATATCCTGAATTGATAAATGAAAATTTGGATCAAGGGAATGCTACCTCGTGAAAGCTACATAAATACATATATTTAAGCCTATGTTTACATCTACTTTGTGTATCTAAATACACCATCAAATTATTTCCTTGATAGTTAAGATATAAGGGTAAGGTCTACCACCATCTCAAAGCTTGCAAAACTAATATAAGACCAATCTGTTCTAGGTTGTTTCTCCCTAGAAACAGACCAGGATGCTTGGCAATAGTAGGCCAATCCAAGAACATTTTGGGATCATTTCAAATGAGGTCAGGATTGGAAATAATTACAACGATCTTTGCCAAATCCCTCTAAGCAGCTATTGATAGTGGACTTGTTACAGAAATATACAAACAGAAATTGTATTTTTAACAGGCAGAGATGGAGAAAGTTGCCACAGATTCCAAGGTCAAAATCCTATGATCTTGTTTTGAAAGACGATGTCTGAATTCATTACCCAACATAACACATGACAGTGAATCAACTTTACAATTAAAATGAAGTATTTGGATGAAACATTTTCTTCACATAAATAACTAAAATTCAGTATTCCAGCCTACGTAATTTGAACGTGTTTCTGTTCATACATGGAATAACTTTTTGTTTTGAAGACCAACAAATGATGTAAAAACAATAATAAAGTTAACAGTACTGTATTGTCACTGTGAATGCCTAATTACAACAATTCAGATTGTATCAGAGTTTTTCTGCTGTTCCACTCTAAAGATGACAATAGTTTCATATTTAAAACTATAGTTGTTTTAAAGACTTTTCCATTAAGCTGATGATTTAACTGCGGTAAAGACAGTACAAACTCAACTCACTTTCTCCACATATTCAAAAACTAAGTATAATTTTCCTCTTCTTCTGAAGGCTTCCTTCAGCTCCACTATGTTCTCCTGTTTTAAAGTGCGAAGCATTTTAAGCTCTCGTAAAGTGGTTTCTTTGACTTCTTCATTTTCTAGAGTGCAAAAGTGAGAAAGTAAAATTCATTAAAAAAAAGAGCAATAAATTGTTATATTTCTTTTGATTAAAATCTCTGTATCTGGGTTGTATGAAGACTTTTTTTTTTCTTTAATTTTTTTAAACACTGCAGGCTCTCTGCACTGCCTGGATGTTTCTGCACCAGAAGAGAGGTATCTGATGACCGTTCAGTTATTACATAACCTTCATAGTACACGCTTCATAACTACTGTGGTTTCCAGTGGAAAAAAAAGCTGTTTAGTAAGAAGCAATAATTTGCACTTCTCTCTTTTCAAAGAGCACAATGTACATTAAAAAACATGTATGTATATGTACAGGCATATCTTCCACCTCACGTATACCTATCACGTGCATGAAGCCCTGGCAAGGTTATGTTTTCAGCAGAAACATTGGAATGACCATTTCTGAACAGCCTTGACTAGATCTGTTTGATTCTTAAGTGATTTTATTCTCTAAAATCTATGAGAAATTAAGACAGAAGAATCATTTTAAATGTCCGAACAAAGCTTTTAATGGAAATTCAGCAATGCAGACCACTGTAGTAGTCACAGAGGGCAGGCAGTAGAGAAAACACAGATACAATTAATCTATGAATCTTTGATTCGGAGTTAAGAAATTGAACTATTATTCTGATAATTTAGCTGCTAAAAAGTGTTTTACTAAAGCTTTGTAGAGTGCTTATCATGTTTATCATTGAGGATAGCACCAACAAAATGTGAAATACAATAGAGTATATTAGCTTTTGTTCTTCATTTAGTCAAATGAAATCCATTAATGCAATTGCCCATGCACACTTAAAAGCCAGGTTTTTAATTTCTTAGTGCTGATACCCACAACAGAAGACTATTAAATGGCATATGATTGCATGAATTCAGAACTAAATCCCACCTGCACATCACATACTCTAAAGACACAGGAATAAGACACAAGGAAGAGAAATTGCTTTTCCAAGAAAGCAAAAGGCAAAAATGGTTTTGCAGAGGAGAGTATAACACAGGTCATGTCAATGCATACAATCATCATCAGAAAACAGAAAAAATACTGAATTGTAGCAAGAAGAGAGAAAGAAGTAAAATACTATCACCACAAACGTTTTTAGTAAAAAATATGTATAATTTAGAGTAATCTGAATCATTTCATTTTAAAACGGAGTGCTCAGTGCTGGCTTGCATCAGCCTGATTGCATTTCTTCTTCTATAACCAGACACTTTCTAGAGCATTTAGCATGCATATGTCAAACAGCAGTAATTCAGTGAAACAAAAATGGCAATAGAAATAATTACTGTATATTCAGATTTGTAATGAACTACCATATTAGCAAGACAGATGTGAAATGGGCTGAATCAAATCCATCAAAGAAAGTTCTGTCACATTTCCAGAAACTTGTAAACAGCTACAACTCTGAAAAGCAGTCATCAATCACGTAAACCAACAGAAAGCAAAAGCTAATGGCAATGTTGTATATTTTGTTTTCATTTGTATACTGTCTTATATCATAATCCTGTTTGTGGCTTAATGCTGGAGATTCGTTGCCTTTGATATGTACTGAATAGACATACTGGGCTCCAGCTAGTGATTCTGCAGTACCTTCATGACCTGGTCAAGACGACCACTACAATTAAATACTTATCAGCATTTTTTAATAGAGATTTAAAACAGATTTCTGAACAGCAAGGCTAAAAGATCAGCTACATCCTCCAGGCATCTAGCAAAATAACTGCAATGAAAGACCAAAATACAGACAAATCTGTAAAATACGGATAATCTGAAAATTACAGATAAATCTCAATTTGCTGCACCTAACTGACTCTGAAAATTACATTATTATTTTGTAACCAACAACAGCACCAGGGCCATCCACAATTCTATAATAACACCAAAAAAAGTGTAGTTTGCTAAAATAAAGTTGCTGCTGTTTCTTTAAACCACATAATTAGACTGTTCAGTTTTCACCTACAGCCTCAGTATATGGCAGATCACAGCTACATCATCACCTCAGACCTGGATTACTCTTCATATTACTTCATACTTGGCCTCTCCTGTTTGTCTCTCGTGTGTCTGCAAGGGATTCATAGTGTTGATGTGTGCAAGGCAGACAGTGCTGTGAAAGTGGAAAAGAAGCAAGTTCCCTTGTAGAAAGTGAAGCCTGCTGAAGGGAGAGCAGAACTGCTGCCTCCTCACTTAGCCAGTTGGCTAAGTTGGTCCCCAATAGCTCCCCAACTCCTCCGTGCACCACAGAGTTTTAAGTGACCTCTCTCTGTCTCCTTCATTTACCCCTTCGAGACCACCAACATTTAAGATCCCTTCGCCTAAATGAGGAGTGATAAAGCTCAAGAACTCCGCAAGCCAGTGCTACAAGAGAAGTTTTTGCTGTCATCTGATCACATCTAGTCTCCAAGTGATAGGTCATACTACCATGAATGGTACCACAATTCAAGCAATATCAAGTGGAAGGTACCAAGAAGGAAAGGTAGGTCTTTAGTTTGAATGCATAATGCAGTTCCTAAGTAGTACCTTGAACATTTAGAGAGCTAATAAATCATAACCATTTTAAAACTGTGTATTGATATATGAGACTTCTTATTTTAACTGGAAAGATATTAGCAGAGCAGTTCTTGACACGAAAGACTGAGAGCAGAAAAGGTTACCTTCACTGTCTTTGAATTTCTTGATAGCCACAATTTCATGTGTCTCCTGTAAAACAAAAGGGAAGAAAGTGAAATTAGCAAGATCTGGTTAGTCTTTTTTTCCTGCTGGTTTCCCTCTGCTCCCCAAGCATAGGGAAAAAAGAAAAAAAAAAAAAAAAAAAAAAAGCATCCTGGGAAATATGACAATGGAAACCATTGTTGATTTGGTAAATGTCTCAGTGATCAAGCCAAAGGCAATGCAAAATTCCATGCAGCAGATATGCTACACTTTGGAATTCCAGTACAGAAAAAAAAGAAGTTCGATGTCAGAAATTCATCTTTAAATACCTTGTAGCAGGTATGAATTACATTTTCACTGACTTTTGACACTTAGTTATTCTGAAAGCTGAACAATTTTTATCTGCTCAAAGTAGGAGTGTGAGTGGCTATCCCTGTGAACTGAAATGAGCGCATCTATCACTGGGCCAAAATGATTGTCTGTTCATATGATCATGCAGCACCTGAATTTTAGTAATATGATGGAAAAGCTTTAAGGTCACCGAGTATGGGAATGTGAAAAGATAGGCAGTAGACTGCTTCAGTTATTTGATAAGTCAGATCTACATTACACATCTTCTCCAACTTGTAACAATATTCCACTATTAACAGCATACAGAGGCTGGATTGAAGACAAGCAATGAGAAAGTTAAGCCCTTTTAGAATGTCTGATGACACACATGGTGGACAGAATAAACATCTATTTTATTTTTGATTTCAAATTGCTACAACATATGAACCTGTAAAATACCTGATCTCATTTAAAATAACACCTGGAAAAACTACTGTAGTTACCAAACAGAGCATCTAGATGAAAATTAATACTAATCCAAATTTAAACGCCTTGGGAAAAAAATGGGATTTACCACTCTCTTAATCTCAAATGAAAAGTACACTGATAGGAGGTGATCAGTTCTCAGAGCTCTTCTGTTCTGCATCCAGAGATCTCTCTTCTGGGTTTCCACACAGTGTTGTACTGCCTGATATCTCCTGCTACCAGAAACAAGCTAGAAGAGTTCCCTGATTCAGAAGCATTTTTTTTTTAATTTTATTTACAGGACACACATCCCTATTTTTCCATGGTGTCTACAAAATAAAGACGACCTGACATTGCTTTTCCAAAACAGTAAAGTAATGCATCTTTACTATCTTCTAGAAAATCACCGATGTTAACAGTAGGAGTATTCAAGCCAAAAGATGTTGCTCAACATAACTGGACATCAGAACAAAAACCAGGCTTCTCTGGAAAAAGAAACATCCTACCTAACTACATGCTGTTCTTGAAATATGACAGAAAAGAGTCTCCTAACAAGAAAAGCGTTTGTGTCTAATTTATCTCAAAGATTTTTGTGACTGATTTTTTTTTCTTTTGTATATCAAGGAAAATTCTGACACAAAGTACAATTACACAAAAAGATCACTGAAAAACAGATAAGTTCATGTCCTTCAGAAAGTGACACCACTCAGCTATAATTCTATAACCTCATCCTATACTGAAAGCATCAATTAAAATCAACGAATGTGAGTAGAGGCTGTGATAATACTGATTGCACACCCTGGAGTAGCAGCACGTTACTGCCATTCCTCAACCAGTGCTGCAAGTGCATCAATTCAGGGCTGTATGCTGATATACCAAAGCAAATGGTGATGTGGCGAGTTCTGTGATTGACTTATGGTTCCAGTCTGCACAGATACAAAGCTCCAAGGCCAAAATTTTGCTAGAAGAAGTGAAGTCAATCACATTCTCTTCTCATGAATACTATTTACATTTTGTAAAAACAATTGAGAAGCAAAAACATCTGTGAACTGATCGGTGAACTGTCACCCAGTCATAACAACATCCACACAGTATTACATAATCTTGTATACATCTAAAATACATTGGGAATTTCCCTCAAGAAGCATTGATCAGTTTTTATCTTTCTGCCATTCAACAAGACC